CTTTAATTTAAAGTCTAGTTTGTCTGATATAAGTATGGCTACTCCAGGTTTCTTTTGACTTCCAGTAGCATGATAGATAGTTCTCCATCCCGTCACTTTCAATCTGAAGGTGTCCTCAGGTCTAAAATGAGTCTCTTGTAGACAGCAAATAGATGGGTCTTGATTTTTTTACCCATTCTGATACCCTATGTCTTTTGGTTGGAGCATTTAGTCCATTTACATTCAGTGTTATTATAGAAAGATATCGGTTTAGAGTCATTGTGATGTCTGTAGGTTTCATGCTTGCAGTGATGTCTCTGGTACTTTGTCTCACAGAATCCCCCTTAGTATCTCTTGTAGGGCTGGTTTAGTGGTGATGAATTTCTTCAGTTTTTGTGTGTTTGGGAAAACCTTTATCTCTCCTTCTATTCTGAATTACAGACTTGTTGGATAAAGAATTCTCAGCTACATATTTTTTTCTGTTCGTCACATTGAAGATTTCCTGCCATTCCTTTCTGGCCTGCCAAGTTTCGGTAGATAGGTCTGTCACTAGTCTTATCAGTCTCCCTTTATATGTTTATAGAGCTGTATATAGAGCATGTTTATCCCCAGCTGCTTTCAGAATTTTCTTGTTATCCTTGTATTTTGCCAGTTTCACTATGATATGTCGTGCAGAAGATCGATTCAAGTTACGTCTGAAGGGAGTTCTCTGTGCCTCTTGGAGTTCAATGATTTTTTCCTTCCCCAGATCGGGGAAGTTCTCAGCTATGATTTGTTCAAGTACACCTTCAGCCCCTTTCTCTCCCTCTTCCTCTTCTGAAATTCCTATCATACGGTTATTGTTACATTTGATTGCATCACTTAGTTCTCTAATTCTCCCCTCATACTGCTGGATTTTTTTCTCTCTCTTTTTATCAGCTTCCTCTTTTCCCATAATTTTATCTTCTAATTCACCTATTCTCTCCTCTGCCTCTTCAATCCGAGCTGTGGTCGCCTCCATTTTATTTTGTGCCTCATTTATAGCATTTTTTAGCTCCTCATGACTATTTCTTAATCCCTTGATCTCTGTAGCAATAGATTCTCTGCTGTCCTCTATACGTTTTTCAAGCTCAGCAATTATTTTTATGACTATTATTCTAAATTCTTGTTCTGTTAGAGTGCTTAAGTCGTTTTTGATCAATTCATTAGCTGTTGCTACTTCCTGGAGTTTCTTTTGAGGAGAATTCTTCCGTTTCATCATTTTGGATAGTCCCTGGGGTGGTGTGGAACTGCAGGGAACTTCCCCTGTGCTTTCTGGAGTAACTTGCGTTGGTGGGCGGGGCCATAGTCAGACCCACTGCTGGGGCCACAGTCAGACTGGTGTGTACCTTATCTTCCGCTCTCCCAGGGGTAGGACTCACTGTGGAGTGGTGTGGCCCCTGTCTGGGCTACGTACACACTGCCAGGTTTGTGGTGCTGCTTCCATGGGGTCTGGCATATTACCTGGGGTGGATCCACAAGGTGCACCAGGATGGGAGGGGTAGGCTCAGCTTGCTTTGCCATCAGTGGTCTGCTGCGGGAAGGGTCTTGCAGCACCGGGAGGGGGGCCGACCCATCAGAGGGATGGATCCACAGAAGCACAGCGTTGGGTGTTTGCGCGGTGCAAGCAAGTTCGTGATGGGAACTGGTTCCCTTTGGAATTTCGGCTGGGGGATGGGAGAGGGAAATGGCGCTTGCCAGTGCCTTTGTTCCCCGCCAAGCTGAGCTCTGTCTTCCAGGGCTCAACATTTCTCCCTCCTGGTATCCTCTCACCCTCCCGCTCTCCAGGCAGAGCTGCTGACTTTTAACATTCCATATGTTAAGTCCTGCTCGCTGTCAGAACACACTCCGTCTGGCCCTCCACTTTTGCAAGCCAGATTCAGGGGCTCTGCCTTGCTGGGTGGGCTGGCTGCCCCTCCACCACCCCAGCTCCCTCCCTCCAGTCCATGTAGCACGCACCACCTCTCTGCCCTTCCCACTCTCTTCCGTGGGCCTCTCGTCTATGCTTGGCTCTGGAGAGTCCGTTCTGCCGGTCTTCTGGTGTTTTTCTGGGTTATTTAGGCAGGTGTGGGTGGAATCTAAGTGATCAGCTGGACCAGGTGATCCCAGCGTCCTCCTACGCCGCCATCTTCTCCTCCCTATTTTATTGGTTTTTAAATATAATTTATTGTCAAATTAGCTAACATACAGTGTGTACAGTGTGCTCTTGGTTTTGGGGGTAGATTCCCATGGTTCATCACATACATACAACACCCAGTGGAGGTTCCTCAAAAAATTAAAAATAGAACTACCCTACGACTCAGAAATAGCACTACCTAGGAGTTTATCCAAAGGATACAAGAGTGCTAAGTCATAGGGGCATCTGTATCCCAATGTTTACAATTCTGATTTTAAATCGAGTACATTACCCCTGAAATCTATCCAACTGAAAAAATCATATTCAGCAAGGTAAAAATTGTTGCCAACTGGTGTAAATGTTTGTGATACCAATTTTATTTAACAAACATACCCAATATGAATGTCGAATTTACTTGTTTTCTCCTTTTCTCTTTATAGAGGATAAGGATCCTAATTTGGACACAATGTTGAATATCCCATCAGCACTTACTGCAACAGTAATTCCTGTCGTAGTGACTGTTCCTCAAGGCAAAGGAAAACCAAAATCAAAAGGCAAAGAAAAACCCAGAGAATCAATTAAAGAAGAGGAACACCCAAAAGAAGAAGAGAAAAAGGTACAGGGACTTGCCATGGATTCCAAAACTCTACTCCTACCTCAGTGTTAACTTTTTTTAAATCATGAGTTAGGTCCATAGTGTTATTGCACCACACATACATTCTTGTGCAAATGAATTAACATTCCCTGGAGTTTCAATTTTGAATGAATGAGAAGAGATGTGCACACAGGAGTTGGGTCCCTATGCCAGGAGACATATTGTCATATACATCTCTCTCAGGTCTTTCATTCTAAACTCAGCAGGACAAGCTCAGCCTTTTTTGCCACTCTGGTTCTTGAGTTTTCTTTGCTCTTGGTTGGTTAAGTTCCTACCATTCTCTAAGTACTTTATTTAGCTTCATTAGATAAATAACAATTGAAAGAGGAGCATCTTTAATTAAATAATGGAAATGCTTCCATTTGGTAAACTTGGGCTTAGATTTATATGCCAAGGATTGAAGGACAGCCCGCTTCTGGCTAAAGACCAGTTCACCCTGTACCTCCAACCTGCCACCCAATGCAGACACACACTCACAGAGGCTTTGGTTCCAAACATGTTCCTGATAGAAGAATACAGATCAAAAGAGGAGCAAGAAGAAAACCACTGATGAACTCTTGACTCTTTAGGCATTTACTAGAACAGCTGTGCAGTTTGTACAATGTACAAACACTCAACTCATTAGAATAAAAAACGTGTTAAAAAGAGATCAGGGATCTTGATTTCAGACCTCGGCCCTCTGAAAGTTGTGGGGTTAGTATGCTACTTAGCCTCTCTGTACCATATTTATTTAGCTTTACTGCAAGATGACTTTTCTCAAGCCAGGACACTTGACCCTTGCTAAATGAAAATTGCATGGTGTTTGAGCAGAATAGCCCTGGATAATTCATTAATTTGACTGAAAGCAATTTGGTAGCAAACCAGTCAGCTCTCCTAAAATTTTTAAAAAGTGACGCTAATGGAAGGATGGGAGATAATTACTGGTTTTTTGTGTAATGGTAGATTTGTCATGGCAAGGTTCATGTCTTTAAGCAGTATTGTTCATTTTACAGAATTTCATAATTTCTTTCCTCTTAATTTAGTTTTGTGTTTTTAATTAATTTTTAGCTAACTTTTCAGGTTTTATTATTTGTTAGTAACAAAGGCAGAGCAATTTAAATGATCAACAGTAGAAGACTAATTAGAATAAACTAAAGATCCAGAAACAAGGGATCGGTTGGAATGACTTTAGTGGCTAACTGGAAAGAAAGCCGACTGGAAAAACTGAAATTATTATCATGAGGGGTTGGTTGGAAGCAACCAAATAACTTTGATTCTGGAATGCAATTAACCAACCAGGTATTCAGGCATAGTTGGCATAAAATTAATTAGGATTTTTCCCTAGACACACCCAAACTTCATCAGTTTATAAATAATCTTTTTATGCCATTTTTAAATTGTTTTTACTTACTACAAAAGTAATGCCTGCTTATTAGAGAAAAATAAGGACACATATCCTAACAGCATAACGTCTCTAACACCCAAACTTTAAAAAATACACAAAGTGGGTAGTGGGGATGTGGTCAGCCTTTACACCCACACTTGCAAACAGAAATATCATTCAAGGCCTACTTCAAGGCCCAACTCCTCCATGATCCTTTCCTAACTATTCTCATTAACTTTGATATCTTCATTTTTTGAGGAGAGATGTGCCAACCATTTGGTACTATAATTTAATTGTTTCACATGTCTATGTACCATTCTACAATATAGAATATAAATTGCACAAAGGTAGAGACTCATGCATTTTATAGGTTCCATCACAGGGCCCACTAGTCATTGGCAAGTCATATGTTAAGCACTCAGCAAGTCCATGCTTAGTCGTAATAAATCAATAGCTCATTTAGAAAATAACACTTATTCACATGTTAAATTATTTACAGGAAGAAGTGGAACCAGAACCTGTTTTACAAGAGACTCTTTATGTTCCCACTTTCCAAAACCTAAATGTGTCTTGCCCCAATGGGCTCCTAGTGACCTTCATTGGGCAAGAGTCTACAGGTGAGTGTTAGCTGGTGTAGAGCAAGGAGGGAGTGGAGCAAAAAAATATAGAAAACAATTAAATCACCATTGAAAGTGTGTATTTTCCTACTAGTTAAATATACTTGTTAATAATGAACAATAGGCTAATAATAATAATAACCCTCATTTTCTGAGCATTTCCTGTTAGCTTGGCACTAAGTATTTAATACACATGAAAAAATACAACTGTTATAGGGGCGCCTGGGTGGTTCAGTCGGTTGAACATCCAACTCTTGATTTTGGCTCAGATGATGATCTCATGGTTCATGATATCAAGCCCCGCATTGGGCTCTGCACTGTTGGCCAGGAGCCTGCTTGGGGTTCTCTCTGGCGCTCCCCTGCTCATGTTCTCTCTCTCTCTCTCTCTCTCAAAATAAATAAATAAACATTTTTTAAAACTACAACTATTTTAAGCTAAGTCCTAGTAATTCCATTTTACAAAATAAATTGAGGCTTCGGGAGGTTCATTAATTTGCCTAAGGTCACTCAACTCCTAAGTGGCAGAGATGAAAGTCCAGTGATGGCAAAGCCTAGAGGCCATACAGAAATAACAGACATTATAAAATCATATGCTGATACTTGAGAACAAGACTGATTTCCTTCAAGCATTCAACCTGTACTTGCCTCTCCCTCCTTTGTGCTCACTGTCCTTTGTTTTGATCAGACCAGCAAATTAATATACCTGCGTCCCTTCATAGAGGCAGGAAGACAGGGCCCACAATAGCTGTTAAGAGCACTGGCTTTGCCATCACTGGACCAAGAATGGACTTTTATCTCTGCCACTTAGGAGTTGAGTGACCTTAGTCACAATAAGTACAAGTAGGATTTCTTTAATTACCCTAATTGGGGCATCCACGTTGGTGACTGAATTTGCATATCACTTAAATGGAGACCCACTATTGCGATAGAATTAACAGAAGCAGCAAAGCAAACATGGGCCTGGGACTTGAGTTCTGACTCTATGGCCCTTTCAGTTACTTACTGTCTCTAGACCATGTTTCTTCATCTATAAATGTTGTATTGTATCAGTGGGTCTTGATCTTTTTTCACAACCAAATATTCTCTTTATTATCATTTCCTTATGTACACCATATTGGAAAAGTATATCTATCAAAGAAAAAGAGTATGCCTATTGAAAAATAATTCAATGTCATATTTACTTGCCACCCAAATGAAAAGAAACTAAATGTTGCAGTTGATCTTATTTGTCTCAATCTTTTTTAGTATATGTGCTGCCGAAGCGAGCACAGATTTGTCTCAATCTTGTTTTTCATTAGGCTTTATCAATTATTAAAAATAGACCATGATTCTTGGAATCGATTTCCCAGGATTCCTAGTGGTCCAGGTTTTCCATGATGAGATGACTGTGTGATGACCATGAAGGGTCTTCCAGAGTCAAAGTCAAAGATGTTATGAGTGTACTAAGAGGGATATTTCTAGATAAGAACATATTTGTCTGCTTGTTCACTTGATCCTATTATCAAATTCCAGCTTTCCACCTTTTTTTATTAGTTTCATTATCTAGCCTGATATTTTCATCCTTATATCATGGTAGACAACGTGGTTAATAATAACTCTGCTTGGAACATGTAATCTTTTAAAAATCTTCCATATATTAGGAATATCCTTATTCAAGTCTGAACATAATTACAACATAAATACCAAAGGAGCAATGTTTTCATTAGGGTCAGCCTTGCACAGAAGGGGGGAAGGTCATGCGGTATATGAAGAAAGAGCTTTCTTGGGTGACCTTGGACAAGTCATAACCCCTCTCCACCTGAATTTCTTCATTTATAAGATAGTGTCATATACTAAACAGGGTTATTATGAGTATTAAATGAGAAAATACTTTCTAATTTGGAGCATACTAATCCAGTGTTAGGTTTTGGGTGGTTTTTGTTTATTTTGGGTCATGGTAGCAGCAGTTGTTTTTACAACATGAGAAAACAGTTAAGCCTAGAGACCCGTTCAACTCCTAGGCCTGCCACTTAACTGTGTGACCTTAGAGAAGCTATAAGCCTTTCCAGCCTCCATTTCTTCAAAACCCTGGAAAGTGAAGTCTCCGTTAAAAGTTCGCTGGGATGAGCTGAATAAAATACATATACAAAGCATTTAACATATAAAAACATCCAAGTAAGTGCTTATTAGTTTATTGTTAGTAATACTTCTGTGACTTAGAGGGTATCACGGAGGGCCCTCATTTCAAAATACTTTTCTGTGAGCCTGATACAGTCCTTGAAATGCCATCATTACATGTTGATAAACCACTTTACAAATTGAGAAGAGGAAAATATTTGGTTAGCAAAAACTGAATTCTCGTTAATATTTTCTTTTGAAGGAAATTACCAGGTGCTTTTCTCCTTGATTGCCAGCTTAGAGTAGAATGCTGAGAAAAATCTGGATTTGGTTAGAGATGAAGAGACGATGTTAACTCTGAAAAATGATGAAATATTTTGGAAGGGCAAGCCTGAAGTGAGTGACTCCCCCTGAGGCTCCAGGCAGCCAGGGGTCACCAGGAGAGCATTGAGCACCCAGGGGCAAGAGCTTAGTCGAGGGCAAGAGAAAAGTGCCAACAGGGAGAAAAGGGAACCTCTAAGACAGCAAAGCTCTGCTTCCTTCCTAATTTTGCCAGAGATGTCCTAGAACTCATGAGAAAGAATGGGTTGTACATAGAGAAGGTACCTATTGAGTACCTATAGACGACCTTCTTTACTACATTTGACCATAGCAAAGGTAGAAAAGAACCAGTGCTCTGCGCCATCAGTCATGACATGGAAACTGCCCTATTACTCAGCTGTAGACAGAAGAATGAAAACAATTAATTAAAAAGATAAAACACCGGCCACACAGCATTGCCCAGTCCACATTAAGGCTTGCTTTTTTTTCAGATGGGAATGTTATGGATGAGGAACCCACTTGGGACATCATGGTCCGGCAGAGCTACCCCCAGAAGGTGAAACACTATGAGTACTATAAGACGGTGATGCCACCAGTGGAACAGGAGGCATCAAGAGTTATCACCAGGCAAGGCACTGTTGTCAAGTACATGTTGGATGGATCCACACAGGTAAGAGAATGTTAGATAAATAATTCTCCTTCCTGCTGCAAAGTAAAATACAAACAAGCTATGGGGCAGGAGTAGTATTGTGGTAGGTAAGAGGCACAACCCACTTGAAAATGGAGTGACACCAGAGATGGAAAATTGAGAATAGAACAGTAGAATAGAATAGAATAGTCTGCCAATAAGACTATTTGTATCCTTATTATAAATAAGCTTATTCTATATATGACCCAAGGCTGAGGATTAAACACAGTGTTCGCCTCCTCTGCCTCTCAAGGCACCTTAAAATAATAAAAAAAAAAAAATACTTTTGAATAGTGCATTCACAACTGTACTGCAAAACAACAAGATGTGTCATCAGTGGATGAAAATTTTGTAAGGATTTCTAGAAAATGCAAGTCAGGTGAGATCAGACTGACGGAGAAACATAAGAAAGTTTAAAACATGTACAGTGAAAAGCCTGCAGCAAAATTCAAACTCAGAAGTTTTAACACAGACATTTCACAGATGGAGATCTGCACTCAGAAAATCGAGTTAGTGTCCCAGGTGACTCACTACTACCTGGAGGGTGGCAACCAGACATCAAAATACCCAGGAGATGTGTGTCCTGCTCCATTCCTTCCCAGCGACCAGAGGCTACGCCACCAAGAAGTGAACAGGGATCCTCAAACAGAAATATGACTGTGCACCCAAGAGTCATCAACCTTACAGAAAAACCAACTGCATGAAAGTAAATTACAGAATAATAAAAAATTAAAGACAGAGCACCTAAAAAGAAGCATAGTTAAACAAAAAACTTGGAAGTGAGTAGAAGTAATATAGACAGAGACTTGAGAGGCTAACAATCTATAAAATAACAATAAAAAAAGAAAAGTTGCTGGGGAAAAAAATCGAGAGTTTTAGATACTAAAAATGACAATTGTGTATCAAATCACTGTGTTGTACACCTGAAAGTCAGATAATAGTGTATGTCAGTATACTTCAATTAAAAATTTAAGAGGGGTTCCTGGGTGGCTCAGTCAGTTAAGTGACCCACTCTTGATTTTGGCTCAGGTCATGATCTCATGGTTATTGAGTCCAAGCCCCGTGTCAGGCTCCGCACTGACAGTGTGGAACCTGCTTGGGATTCTCTCTCTCTCTCCCTCTCCCTCTCTCTCTGCCCCTCCTCTGCTCATGCATGCTCTCTCTGTCTCTCTCTCTCTCTCAACATAAATAAACTTTAAAAATACAAAATAAATAAAAATTTAAAAGGAGAAAAAAACAAGAAAAATAATTGTGAAAATTGGGGGGGTGGGGGAGTGGATTGTGAGGGAGAGAAAAGTTAAGAGACATGGAAAAGGGATCTGAAGAATACAATCTCCAGAAGAAGAAAATGGTGGGAGTGAAGAAGGAAAATAAAGAAAGAAACAACATAGGGAATTTTCCCAGAACGAAAAAAAAAAATACTTTGGATTAAACAAGAGTCAATCAGGATTGATACTAATAATCTTTAAAAGATCATCTAGATATGTTGTAGTGCAGTTTTGGGACTGCGCAGATAGACAATCCCGAAAGCTTCCTAAAGGTAACCAGTTACCTAGTACAGAATGGACAGGATGGACGTTAGATTTCTCATGAGCAGCAGCTGGTGGTGGTTCTTGTCACATTGGTAAGCGATAGAGATTGATCCAGACAGATGTATCTGTAGTACCTGTAGACGACATATCTACTAGATAGATATCGACAGACACTAAACATTTAAATATGTGATAAAGTTTTAAATGTAGTCATTATGTAAGTTTCAACAGAGTGCATAATTTTCCAATGACATAGGGGAAGGATAAAGAATAGAGAAAATAGGGGTTCCTGGATGGCTCAGTCGGTTAAGTGTTCAACTTTGGCTCAGGTCATGATCTCACGGTTCATGAGTTCAAGCCCTGCAGCAAGCTCTATGCTAACAGCTCGGAGCCTGAAGCCTGCCTTGGATTCTGTGTCTCCTTCTCTCTCTGCCCCTCAGCTCATGCTCTATCTCTCTCTAAAATAAATAAACATTAAAATTTTTTTTAATGGAGAAAATAAAAACTCAAGTTAATCCAATAAAAGACAAGAAATAAAAAGAAAGGAAACAAAATAGAAGGTAAACGGAAAACATTAAATAATATTATTTTGCTGGATAGTAAGCTATTCTCTCTGCGCTCCCAATCTATCCTCCTATATTATGTTTGTGTTGCTGAGTCTGGAGGTCTGCAAAGAGCGTTTTTCTTTTGGATTTATTTTAACTTATGTCAGTTTGACACAGCATCAAATGTTAACCAGCCTCTTGCTTGCTTCTGAGAATGTAAGGATTTCGCTTTTCCTTCAGATTCTCTTTGCCGATGGTGCCGTGAGCAGTAGTCCTGATTCAGGTTCTGTTTGTCCTCCTGGTGAAATGCCAACAAGCCCTCACAGCGGCGACTTTATGGACACGGCTTCTCAGCATAAATCAGAAATTGTACCATCTGAGATTGTCATCACAAAGAAAGGTAATAATTGAAGCCTTTCAGTTTATAATGGATTTAATAAGCCTTCAAATGCTCAATAAATGTTCATTATTGTTATTCTTTTATTTCTCATCTTTTCTATGAATATATTCATCTATACTCATAGACGCATATACATATGTATAAATTTTAATTGGAATCACGGCATTACACACTGTCATGAACTGCTTCCTTCTCGTAGTACTAAATAACGAACATTTTCCTATGCCATTATATACACTTCCACATTAGGTCTAGTGCTGGGCTAGTGTTTTAGGGTTAGTTGACCAGATCAGCAATGTCAAGGTTCTAAGTAGGCATCTCTTTGGTTCTCTTGACTTTCCTCAGAGCTGCAAAGGCCCCAGGTTCTCATGTAGTAACCCTCAAAGCAAAACACGAAGAGAGTGGACACAAGAACTTTCAAGGTTGTCTCTCTATCAGGGAGGAGAACATTTCTGGATTCCACTGCCTTCCCCCACCAGAAGACCTTCCCTTATATCTCACTGACTAGACCTGGCCAGGGACCCAAGCTGGAAAAACAAGCATTTGACGTTTCTGGCCTTTTTCTCAGGAGATGCGCACTACCTGTAGGGAAAAAAGAAGTCCGGTAACAGTTGAGTAAGCAATCAACAGTGTCTGCCATAGTCTAAATTATGAAATTGCTCTCCTCAGAGGTATTCTCGATTTACACCCCTACCTCTTGTGTTGTACGAAAATATTTCCTTCCTCATACCCTTGCCGATGCTGGATTTCCTCATTCTCTTAATCTTATTCCATTTGATAATTAATAATCTTATTATTGTGTTAATTTGCATTTCTTTATTACTGGTGAGGTTGAACATTTAATAATTTTTTTCTTTATGAATTTTTCTATTCACATATTTTCTTGTTTACCTTTGGGAGGTTCATTATTTACATATTTATTTGTAAGAGATCTTTAGATGTAGGACATGTGTGTTTGTGTACCAGGCACAATTCTGAATAAAGTATTAAATCAGTGAATCCTCATAGCAACCCTGTGTGATATATATTTTAATAATCCCACTTTACAGATGATGAAATTGAGACACAGAGAGGTTAAATAACTGCCTTGAGGACTCTCAGCTAGTAAGTGGGAGAGCTGGGATTTGGATCTGGGCACCTGCGTTGCAAATTTTTCTCAATCTCTCATTTGACTTAAATGGTCTGAGACCAGGATTTAATCTTCTTTGTCAGTTTCACACACACACCCCTCCCCACCACCACCACAGTAACCAATGACCAAGAGGCAAATTGAATTCCTTTTTTGGTTACTCAAAATTTAGTGAAATAGACTTTCCTTTGGTAGTAGCAAAAGGTCCTTGGTTGAAGTGAATGAAAGCGTCCTCATAGCTTTCAAACTCCCCAGCTCAAAGGCTCCTTCCTTTTCTGATAGGAGAGGACTTCATGTAAGGGTGGCCACTTTCCTTAGCATCCCACAGGGTTCCAAAGAGTTTCCACCTCCAGCATGGTGTGCTCCAGATTTCTTCAAAGCCCTCCCGTCCGAGGTGATGCATTCACTTTAAAAACAAAAACAAAACGAAAAACAGATTTTTTTCTTTTTGAGAGAGAGAGAGAGAGAGAGAGAGAGAGAGAGTGCATGGGCAGGAGAGTGGCACAGGGAGAGGGAGAATCTTAAGCAGGCTCCACACTTCAGCACAGAGCCCAATGCCAAGCTAGATCCTACAACTGTGAGATCGTGACCTGAGCCAAAGTCAAGAGTCCAACACTCAACTGACTGAGCCACCCAGGTGCCTCTAGACTTTTTTAAAAAGTTTTTTAAAAATATGTATTTAGTTTTGAGAGAGAGAGAGACAGAGCGTGAGCAGGGGGAGGAGGAGAGAGAGAGGGAGACACAGAATCTGAAGCACAGAGCACAACGCGGGGCTTGAACTCACAAACTGTGAGTTCATGACCTGAGCCAAAGTCGGTTGCTCAACCGACTGAGCCACCCACGGGCCCCACTAGACTTTGTTTTTAAGAGCAATTTTAGGTTTGCAGAAAAAATGTGCAGAAAGTACAGAATTCCTCCGTGCTTCCTCTCTACCTGGCTCACTGTTGTCCCTGTTTTAAACACATGTCATGGGGCGCCTGGGTGGCTCAGTCAGTTGAGCATCTGACTTCAGCTCAGGTCTTGATCTCACGGTTCGTGAGTTCAAGCCCCACGTTGGGCTCTGTGCTGACGGCTCAGGACCTGGAGCCTGTTTCAGATTCTGTGTCTCCCTCTCTCTCCGCCCCACCCCTGCTTGTGCTCTGTCTCTATCTTTCAAAAAAAATGAATAAACATTAAAAAAATTAATAAACACATGTCTTACAAATTGATGAACCAATATTGATACATTATTATTAACTGAAGTCCATAGTTTGCATTAGGGTTCAATCTTTGATATGTACAGTTCTAAGAGTTTTGACAAATGCGTAATGTAGTGAATCCTACCACTACAATATCATACAGAATAATTTTACTCTCTGTGGGAAAAAAACAAAAACCCTGTGCTCTATTTATTCATCTTTCTCCTCACCCTCTCCCAAAAACCAGTACCCGTGAGCCAACACTCTCTTTTCCCCTCCACCCAGGACCTTGGAACCACTAATCTACTTTCTGTTTCTATGGATTTACACATTCTGGACATTTCATATAAACAGAAGCATACAATATAAGACCTTTTGTGACTGGTTTCTTTTTATCTAGTGTAATATTTTCAAGGGTCATCCATGTTGTAACTTGTGTCAGTACCTCATTTTTATAGCCGAAGAATATTCTCTTGTATGGATGTACCACACTTCGTTTACACATTCATCAATGATGGACATATAGGTCGTTTCCACTTTTAGGAAATTACAAATAAAGCTGATGCAAACATTTCTGTACAAGTTTTTGTGTGGACATATATTTTCATTTCTCTTGAGTACATAAACTAGGAGTGGAATTGCTGGAATAATAACTCTATGTTTCTCGTTTTGAGCACCTGATAAACTGTTTTCCAAAGCAGCTGCATTATTTTATTTTTCACCAGCATGTTGAACACTTTTTCATGTGCTTAGTGGCCATTTTTTACCTTCTTTGGAGAAATGTCTATTCAAATCCTTTCCCCAATTTTTTAAAAGTTATCTATCCTCTTATTATTGAGTTGTAAGTATACTTTGTATATTTTAGATACAACTTCCTTATCAGATACATGATTTGTGAATATTTTCTCCCATTCTTTGTGCTCTTTTTCTACATTCTTCATGATGTCTTTTCATGGTGTCCGTTTTGCTGAAGTCCAATGTATCTGCTTTTTTCCCCCCTCTGGTTGCTTGTGGTTTTGGTATTATATCTAAGAAATCAGTGAATAATCCAAAGTCACAAAGATTTATTCTTATATTTTCTTCTAAGAGTTTTATATTTTTAGTTCTTGCATTTGGGGTTTTTAAATCCATTTTTATAGAACTTTTAAAAAATATTTATTTACTTTTGAGAGAGAGAGAGAGAGCACGTGCACACATGTAGGGAGGAGCAGAGAGGGAGGGAGACACAGAATCTGAAGCAGGCTCCAGGCTCTGAGCTGTCAGCACAGAGCCCAACGCAGGTTGGGCTCATGAACCATGAGATCATGACCTGAGCTGAAGTCAGACATTCAACCAACTGAGCTTCCTAGGTGCCTCTTTATATAATTTTTTATACGACAAGAGATAGGGGTCCAGATTCATTTTTTTGAGTTTACTAAAAAACAATTATTTCCCCCATTGAATTGGTTGGCACCTCAGTCAAGAATCAATTAACCATCAATGGTAAGGTTTATTTTTGGACTCTTACTTCTGCTCCACTGATAAATATGTTTGTCCTTATGCCAACATCTCACTGTCCTGATTACTACAGCTTTATAAGTTTGAAACTGGGAAGTGGGAGTCATTCATGTTCGTTTTACTTTTTTAATGTTGTTTGGACTACTCTGGGTCCCTTGCATTTCTCTATGAATTTTGGGGACAGATTGTCAATTTCTACAAAAGAGGCAGCTGGGATTTTTATAGAGATTCCACTGAACATGTAGCTAAATTCTGAGAGTATTGACATCTTAACAATATTGTCCCTAATTCATGAACTTGGGATATCTTTCCACTTATTTAGAACTTCTTTAATTGCAATCCATACTGTCTTATAATTTTCGGTGTACAATTATTACGATTGTTTTGTTAAATCTTTCCTAAGTGTCTTATTCTTCTTGATCCTATTATAAATGGAATTGTTTTCTTTATTTTTGGATTGTTCATTGATGGTGTATACCGATATAATTGATTTTTTTGTTTGCATTTTGAGCTAGTATCTTAAAATCTTGCTGACCTTTCTTATTCTACCCTTTTTTTGTTTTGCAGCAACTCTGGAAATAAGATCCTAACCCCCAGTGTTTGTTGTTGTTGCTGTTATTGCTGTTTGTTTAGTGACTTTACTGAACTTGTTCTTGCAAATCTCTTTCCTTTGTCCTGTGTAGCTACTGAAGTTTTTGCTCTGTTAGCCTAGTGGTCAGGTAGTGATTAGGCAGGGGTTCCCTTACATGCCTCAAACCAACAAGTGTCCCAGCCTTTGCCAAGGGGATGTGTGTGCTTACTGGGGCATTCCTTCATCGCTCTCGCAGTTGAGACCCTAGCCTTAGCCTCAAACTCAGCCCGTGTTTCTCAGGTGTTTCTTGGACATGAGTACAATCCTGCATGTACACGTGGCCTTCTAGATTCCTAGGAAAATGACAGACTTTTTCAAAGTCCTTTTGGTCATCTCATTCTCTAGCTTTTGCTTTTAAGTTTTTAGGTCAGCCTCTTTTTTGCCCCAACTGTTACTGCTGCCTTAGACAGCCACGTTGTGAACAATCGCCACTGACTGTTTCAGCAGGAGCCCCAGGAAAAGGTGGTTTATAATGAGCGAATTCTGACCCAGGTCAGGGTGAGGATTTTCAGGGAGTTTTCAGAGAAGTCAAACAATGACAAGTCTTTGGGAATGGGGCTTTTAGAGAGAATTGCAGGCCTATCTGCCCCCTCCAGTGGCTGCCAGATTGTCACAGCTACTATAACTCCAAGGCTACTGTTTTTCAAGGTTACTGCAGAGCTGGAGATGGGGTGGAGGGCATGGAGGGGGGTGGGGGGGGGTGCGGATGGAGGGTGCAAATTGGACAAGTTATAACAACACAAAGCAGTTATTCTTACTGAGATTCAACTGTTTTCTAGAATTGTTTCTTGGATTGTTGCAATTCTTTGGTTTATATCCAGAGTTCTGAAAGAGTTGACTTTGATCATTTTTTCCCAGCGCTCTCACTGTTTTGATGGAAGAATGGTTTTTTGAAGGTCCTTTCTTGCCATTCCAGAAGTACTTCTCCCATCTCACAAGAAATACTCTTTAGTATTTTCTTTATTTTTAGCTCTAAATATTTTCTAATTTCCATAATGACCTCCTTTTTGACCCATAATGTTTTTAAATTTCCAAAACTATGAAGTGTTTCTAGGTTTTTTTAATAATTGATTTTTAACTAATCTTTTGAAATTTGTCAAAACATGATGTATAGCCTCATATATGGGCAAGTGTTGTAAAAAGTCTGTGTGTGATTGGAAGGGCATGTATCCTGTAGTTATTGAGTATAGTGTTCTCTTTATGTCTATTAGATCAAACCTGTTGGTTGTGTTGTCTGGTCCATTTTCAAGTTCAGCAAACTTCTCTGCAAAGGACAAGATAGTAAATATTTGACTTAGACCTTGTGAGCTGTATTATCTCTGTCACAACTACTCAACTCTGCCCTTATTACACGAAAGTAGCCATAGACAATACATAATCAAATGAGCATGCTGTATTGTGTTTAAATAAAACTTACTTATGAACACTAAAATTTGAATTTCATGTAATTTTCACGTATCACAAGGTATTATTATTCTTTTGATTTGTTAATTATATAGAAACGTCAAAAGAAGTGTTACTTCACAGACTATACAAAAACATACAGCAAACCATATTTGCTCTACAGGTCAAATTTACCAATCAGTATTGTATAACTTCACAGATATTTTTAATCTGCTGTAACAATTTGTTTCAGCAGAAGTATGTTTAAATAAGGGTAGAATAGTCTACTCAGTGATATACTCCTTATAATTTAATCTTTACTTCTTTATTTCTGAAATTATTACATCTTTTGAATAGTTCTGTCTAATTTTTCTTTATATACTTTGAGGATATGGTTTTAGATACTTATAAATTTAAAAATTATAATATCTTTGTGGTGAATTTAACATTTTATCAGTATGCAGTGGTTTTTTGTTCTAGGATTCTTTTTTGCCCTAATGTCTATTCTATGAGGGCAAAATTGTATTTTGCTTATCTTATTATGTTATGTTATTATATTATTATAGACACACCAGCTATTAATCCCTTTACAGTGTAACTTTTTCATATTTTATTTTACTTCCTGTGGTTTATGTTTAAATGTATCTCTTGTGAGCAACTTATAGGGTAATATTTTTAAAATTCAGTTTGATAATTTTTTTCTTTTTACTGGAGCTTCTAATCTATTTATCGTATAACAGATAGCTTCCCAAAAAATGTGTTTATGTTGTCTTCATCCTTGGATGATAATTTCACTGGGTACAGAATTCTGGATTGACAGATGTTTTCTCTCAGTATATTCACAAAAATTCTCTCTACTCTTCTTGTTTCCAGTGATGATGTCGAAAAATTGGCTGTCAGTCTAATTGCTATTGCTGTGAAGATAATCTAACTGCTTTGAATATATTTTCTTTTTTTATTATAATTTCAATACAGTTTAGCTGGGTGTGGATTTCTTTTTATTTATCCAGTTAGTATACATTGAGGTTCTTAAATCTCTGGGTTAATATCTTTCATTGATTCTGGAAAGTTCTCAATAGTTACCTCCTCAAATATTGTTTCTGTTCCTTTTTTTCTCTTCTTTTAGAATTCTAATTAAGCATGTATTAGAGATTTTTACCTCTCTTTTATTATTTCTATCGTTTTGACTCTCTGAGATTCATTCGAAATAATTTCTACAGGTCTATCTTTCAGTGCCCTTTTAATGCTCTGGAAATAGAAGTAAGTCCAAATTAAATCCTAGGGCAATGGTATCTGTCTTACTTGGGTCTTCCCATTAGCTGAGTCTGCATATTAGTCCAGGATCGATGCTCTGATGCACATTTCATACTCTGACTCTGAGGAATCTTCCAAGAGTTAACAATCCTTTACTATCTTTTCTTGTAATTTGCTTCTGGGTCTGAATTCACTTCATCATTGAGGTTTGATAACATGGGCAAATTTCATCTACAGATCACTTATTATTATTTATACCAATGGAGCAAATCTATCCTGAAAAAGGCATTGAGACATTATTCAGAGTTCCTTGAGGGCTTTCTCATTACTGTCTTCCAAATAGATCGTGGTAGGGAGGGATAGGGATGAGATATGCATCAGATGATTATCAGTGGAGTAGTCGAACTCTACAAATCCTCTCCCCTAGTGAGAGGCCAAGGATATATGCCTGGTTGGTAAAGTTCTCCAGATCCAGGGCTGAAGAAAGCTGTCTCCTATCTGTTACTAACAAAATGACAAAATCAGGGGAATGAAGAGTTAAAAATCTCATATAATGCTAGAGTTAAGTAAGTCAAAAAAAGGAGTCAAAGGTAGGGAGCAAAGGTAGGCTTTAAAAACCAGGTACAGAGCCCCAAATCTGGAATCCAGGGAGCTATAAGCAATACTTAAAGGTACACAGCAGTTGACCAAATAGGTATCGTGCCATAGAGGGTGAGCTGTATATGCATGTGTCTATTTGGGGAGAGGTGGTGGGAATCCAGCCAAGGTTCAAGTGCATAACTTGATATATTTTTCCACTTGAAAAAATAATATAACTGATGAATACTACATAGAATTTCTATGCCACAGTGTCTGAGGTAGTTTACAGTGTGTTAAAACTTAGTAATTTATGTAATTGATATTATAGTTACATTGTGTTTGATTTTACTTGAACTTCTACAGGAAAAAGTCACAAAAATCAGTCATCAATGGCACATAAGAATGAAAGCCATGAACCTCACCCAGAGACGGTTCAAGCAGTAACTCCTGTAGACGTTCATGTAGGCACCTGGTTTACAACCACACCTGAAGGAAATCGGATTGGCACCAGAGGACTGGAAAGAATTGCAGACATGACCCCATTATTATTCTTTAAGGCCACAGATCCTGTCAGTGGAACGGTATGGCAAACTATTGTATGTTGCAAATTTTTATAATTCGTTAGAGTTCTGAAACACATAGAAGAGTGCCTGGCAAATAATTAGTTTTCTGTAACCGGTAACTAGGTGGATGGATGAACACACGGACCCGTCTTCCCAAACACAAAAACACTGGGTGGTTTATTTGACTAATGTAACGTGCCATGAAATAATAATTTTTGAAATGAGAAACAGATCATGAATGTACCACATTTAACACTTAGAAGATTGTGTTACGTGTTTCTTTATGTTGAATGTATTTGTGTGTATGTCTTATCTTCTAGAAGTTGGGCTGTGCTTGGTTCCTACTTCTTTCTGTGCAGCTGGAATGAATGCTAGAAATTTGCTCGTGATCCTTGACTGCAAAGTATGTATGGTATATTTAAGGAGATACTCACATTAAATAATTCAAGAATTTAGCAACACTCCAGAGCAACTGTACAAAAGATTTTATTTGTGGCCTAAGAATAAGTGACAAATGAGTGGTACAGAAAATAATGGTTTGATTAATGATAAGAAATCGAAACTTCTGGGATGAACAGTAGCACCTTCTGTATGCCGGGATTTCTGTTAGGGATTTGGGGTTTTGTCTACACTATCTCGTTCAGTCTTTGCACCAATGAATATTATATGACACTGATGAGGAAATTGGGCCTCCGCAAGTTAAGTAATGTGGTCAAGAGTATATCCAGGAAGTGTTGGATTCCACTTGGGCAGCTCTCAGGTCTTTCCGCATCTGCCTCAGTTGCAGAGAGTTGCTTTGCCTGACTCACATGGTTCCAAGGTAGCTGCGTGCAGTGACTGAGTGAGGCAGGGGTATGCCAATCTGGCTCCTGCTATCAGACTTGGGACACTGGGGCAGGGGATACTGGCTCCCAAGCTCCTGCCAGTTGACTGAGGCTTTGTCGGGTCTGTGCCACAGCTCAGCTTCCGCCTCTGCCCGTTCATGCTTCCTTCCCCTTCCTTTCACAGATGGTGTCCAATTGGCAATAATAGCAATTTATATAATACATATTTCAATCATGGTGTTCAATTGGCAATAATTGCAAAGTCTATAATATATAATTCAACCATTGAGTATTTTCTAACTTGTACTGTCCTAACTGTAAGGGCCACAGTATTTCACCAAAGAGTGCAGATGGGTGTGAGAGTGGGTTTGTCAGCTGTTTTTTGACTCAAATGTCTGGGGCTGTTGGAAGCAGGTGATAATTGCCTTCTTATCTCTTTATAGTAGGCAGAAATCACTATATATGAGAAAGAAATGTACACTATTCATTATTTTAGGTTCTTAGCCTTGGAACTCTCAACCAGTATGTACAATGAGGAATACCTCTGCAGAACATGGTGGTTAAGAGCATGATTCACCTTCTGTTCTGATGACATTAGGCCAATATTGGCATAGGAAAGGCAGCCTCAGCAGGCCATGCTTACTTTAAACCTATAATTTTCAAGGAGGCAGAACCTGGGGTCATGTTCCCAGACAGAACTCGGCCAGGCCAGTCCTGACACTAACTTTTCATTCACAAATACATGACAATGGAAGGAGCATCAGTGTTCAAGTCAAACAGCCTTAGTCGACACCAGCCCTGACATTTGCTGAGTGACCTTGAGCAAATTTCTTAACTTCTCCAAGCCTAACTTCCATAATCTACAAAATGGGGATAGCATTGCCCGCCTCCTAGGAATTGTTGTAAAGCTTTGTCCAAGTAGATGAGATAAAACTTTAGCTTATAAACAGATAACCAGGATTTTGATGATACTCAATGAGGCATAAAAATAAACGCACTTGGGATTAACCCACCTGCCAAATGATCATGCTCTGCCTTTGTATGTTCAGGTCATGATAACTCGAGAAGACAGAGTGATCATTGTGGAAAAGAAAGATGGTACTCGGATAGTGGATCATGCTGATGGTACCAGAATCACAACCTTTTATCAAGTTTATGAAGACTGTATTACTCCTCCAGATGATCAAGAAATAAGTAAGTTATCCTTTGCTTTTGCTTTTTTATTTTGAGAGAGAGCGAGAGAAAGAGAGAGAGCATGAGTGGAGCAGAGGGAGAGAGAATCCCAAGCAGGTTCCATGCTCAGCACAGAGCCCAACATGGGGCTCAATCCCATGACCCTAGGATCATGACCCGAGTCGAAATCAGCAGTTGGTCACCCAGCCCACTGAGTCACCCAGGTGCCCCAAATATTTGATGTCTTTAGAATAAGACGAGGAGCCTCACTGCTCTTATTAACACACACAAGAAAAATATCTTTTTGAAGAACTGTGTCAACCAAAGAGTGCGTGCGCAGTCAAGAGCGGAGCCTCTTAGGTCCTGCTGTTACAATCTTTACCCTCAACAGACATGGGAGTGATAAAAGCCCTAGCTGGCTGTAGATAGTAATAGCACCTTTTTCTATTTTCACCACTAAAACCTAGATTGGTCTAGATTGGTGGCAATTAAAAGTAAATAATCATGACTCAATTGCCCTGGACATCAGCGCTCACACCTGTTTCCATTAATCCTTAAGGAATCTGATCTGCATACAGGTGGCCTCAGGTCCTCCTTCAGTTCTGAACACACCTCTCATCAGAGAGATGGTGTGAGAGAAAAACAAGTGGGGGCTCGAACTCACAAACTGCAAGATCATGACCTGAGCCAAAGTCGGATGCTTCACCAACTGAGCCACCCAGGCGCCTCTTAAGATTTTTAAGGTCAAATTATTCTCTGACTCCCTTTTCTTTAATTCCAGAGTTTATTTGTTCAGTGCATTAAATGCTTCATTAAATGTCGCCAAATTAAGTGCGACAAAATTGGCAAGTGAATGGGAAAAGAACAACCTTCCTACCCCACTGGTTAGAGGGAACATTAGAAGAGCCACCGGAGAGGGCAATTTAATGTGCCTATCATACGATGCACTAACTCCACTTCACTTCCTCTTCCTCTTACACACTTGTCCAAGGAAACATGTTCAGGGCATTACTTGCAAATCCAAGTCCAATATCAAAATACTGGTAAATAAATGGCCATCAACAGCAGAATAGGAAAATAGAAGGCAGTACAATCTTATAAAGGAATACTATACAGTAGTTAAAAGGAATGAAGTATATCCACACATATATAGCCACACACCTGTATATCAAGAGGGCTGAAGTTCTCAGAGCAATGTTAAGTACAAAAAAGTAGGTGCAGAATGATACATACAGTGATATATAATCTACGCATATGTAAAGCCCACAAAAGATTATACATTATTTTTGATACATATATTTACATAAAAGATAAAAATAGATTTCAAGAGAAAGGAGTAAAGCCAGGGGCCAGGAGAAAAGTGAACTTCAACTCACCTGTAATTTTTCTCTTGTATACGTATGAAAAATGTTGAAACAAATACGGTAAAACACTGACAAGTGTACCTTTTGATTGGTGAGTATATGAAAAATTAAATTATAATTTATGCTCCTCTGGGTGTTTTCAATTTCTCAAAATAAACATAGTAGAACAAAATAGCACACTAAATTAAGTAGGAAGAGTTGTTCTGGAAGAACGACTCTGCTTTGACAGTGAGTGGACCACACACACCAGCCCTGTGGTGTGAGTCCTCAGCACCCGTCCCCACCGCTAGTCCAGGGGCCAGGAGACAGGAACAAACCCAGCAGGTGGGCGTGTTTCCCAATGTGTGCATCCTGTCACATCTGCTTACCTTGCACTTGCTTGCAGCCGAAAGTCCTCAAACGGTCACCAGGCAGGTGAAGTGCATGTGGATCGAAAATGCACACTATGCCACTGTCATCACCAACTGCGAGGACAGTAGCTGCTGTGCCACCTTTGGGGACGGGACGTCTATTATCGCAAAACCACAGGGAACGTATCAGGTGGGTCTGTGGGGAAATGAGGGGTGCCAGAGACAAGCGTCCATTCAACTAAGCGAACCCACTGCTCTGGGGCGGTGAACATGCCTGCCATGTACGGCTGATGTTCCTTTTGTCTCATGTTCTTAGAACACATTTCTCAATCTCTTTTTTACTTGTTCACCTTCTTCTGACAATCCATTGCAGAAAGAAACAAAAACAAAACAAAACAACAACAACAACAACAACAACAACAAATGTCCCGCTTGTCTTACAATGCTTTGGCATTTTTGGATCAAGGTTTTAAACCAGAATGTAGTTGTTGGGGATCTTTTATGTGGTAGGTGGCAGGCACTGTTAGAAGCCCTCATGTGGTCTCTCCTGTGCCTACCCGACCGGCTTCACCTCCTGCAACCTCTGACCTCATTCATATTCTCCTGTCCTTCCCATCTCCAGCCCGCCTTCACTCTACCTAATGTCCTGACAGGATGGGGGGCGGGGAGCATAAGGCCTGTGCGGTCCTAGGAGGGCAGTTTGTTCTTAAAGGGTCAGGGAGGAACATTGTCAGCAGCTCCTGTACCTCCCTACATTTCCCTATTAATCACAACCACCCAGTGTCAGCCTGCAGTCCCTTTAGCCTTAGAAGGATTTGCCCTTATCATTCTGCTTGCTGGAGAAGAGACACAAGTGCCAGGATGTCAGACACAATGTCACCGGATGCTGACAGCTCAAAGCCTGAAGATGATGGACATAGAGCTCATTTGTTACTGGTGGAAGCTGCTGAAGGCCAGTTCATTCTCCCCCCACACCCACCTTTCTCTCCCTCTTCTTCCAGTGTAGACTGTTATGGGGCAAGGCAGGTGCTGAAAGTGAGACGTGACTGTAAAGTGTTGCAGTTGGCTAAGGGGCGCAATTTTTCTTCTACAACATTCAGAATGTCCATTTTTTTCGGCAGATTGGCAGCATCCACAATCTAGTACCATGTGTGCCACCAGAGGTCATGAGAATCCCCTAAGATTCTGTGATAAGGCCAGCTTTTGCCTTTTGTTTTTATCATAGTCCCAAACTCTAATGGTGACAACGATGAGGGCGAAGGAATTTTAGAACCAATGACAGTTGGCACTGGAGGAGGAGACCCAAACAGAAAAGAGATCCAACTTAGGGACATTGAGTGTCTGCCACTATTATGTAGTCACTTGTTCCTCCCAGGTTTGCTCAATCTCCCAAAACACAGCCCGAGAAAGGATTGGAAGGCCAATCACTCCTGATTGAGAAATACACAGACCTTAGTTCCCAACTGGAAAAAAAGAAAACAACAACAACAACAACAAAACTCCAAATAAATTTACCAACACCTATTATAGTTCTCTAGTTGTATAGAACTGAAAGATGGCGTGCCTTCTGCACCCCCCCCCCCCACCCATGGGTTGGTCATCACTTCCTCACTCACCAGCATTAGGACAATGGACAGATGATAAGTGAGGCTGGATTGTGGGTAATGTATAAAAAGAGAGGTAGAGCTTGGTATTGTCCACCATTGTTCCTTAGCAGCACAAAAAGGTTAACCAAAGCATCAAAGAAGAAGCAGGTATAACAGTTCGTATAGTCAGTATGAGACACTTCCAGAATGGTGGAGTAAGGACCTCCATAAAAACAACTAGAAAACTGAAAATATTGTCAAAATCAACTTTTTCAGAACGCTGAAAATTAACCAAAGGATTACAACAGTCAGAAAAACAAAGAAAGACAAAGACTCATTCTCAGGAAGTACGGCAAGATTCCTGGTGATTTCACTTGCCATATTCCCCTCCTCTCCCCTAGCTTCATGGTAGCCTTGAAAATCAACACCCTCACATTCATGATAGCAATGAAAACCAGCATGCCAGCATCCACTTAAAGAGGAAGAATAGACTTAGAGCTCCCCAAAAGTCCCACCACAAAATATTGTCATTGTTGACCTGTCTCGCAGTTCCCTGGAAACCCCATTTGCAAGCATTGTCTTTGTTTCATCTGACTCTGAGCTTACTCACTACAAACAGACTTCTCCCCGAACAGTGGTAAGTTAACATTACGGCTGCCTGAAGTGGCAATAACAAAGAAGAGGATAAACAAAAACATTAAAAGCAACAGCTGGGGAACAGAAGTCCTTAGAAGGCTTTGAAAAGCTCTGACATATTGCTTGGAATCATCCTCTACTGAGGGTTCGATCTGCATGCTGCGGTATTTTTTCCAGTGTTCCAGCTGGAAGCTAGAGAAAGCTCGCTCTACTTAGCCTTCACTCCCTGCTTATGCAGATCCTCTTTATCAGCAAGGGTGAAAGATTAGGGCTTTCAGAGTTATTTTCTGGGCATGTACACAGTCCTGCACGTGAATGTGGCTTTCTAGATTCCAAAGAATATGCACTTATAACATATAAAGATGTAATTTTCTTTAACAATAATAACACAAAGAGGAGAGGGGAGCAATAGAGCTATATAGGAACAAAGACTTTATATAATATTGAAATTAAGTTAGTATTAAGTACAGTGTAGATGATTATAAATTAAGACGTTATTTGTGATCCTCAAGAAACTTTAAGAAAATAACTGAAAATATATAGTAAAAGAAACAATAGGGGAACTAAAAGGGCACACTGGAAATATCTGTTTAAAACGAAAGAAGGCAGTAATGGATGAATTGAGAGGAAAAAGAAGCATAAGGCATATAGAAAACAAGTGAAAATTGGAAGATGTAATTCTGACCTTCTCAGTATAAACAATCCAATAAAAAAGCAGATATTGGAAGGATGGATTTAAAAACATGATCCAAATATATGCTCTTTACAACAGATACACTTATATGGTCAAAGACACAAATAGGTTGAAGGGAAAAGGCTGAAAATAGATAGACCTAGATTAAGTAATTGAAAGGGAACTAGAGTGTCTGTGCTAATTCAGACAAAATAGACTTTACAATAAAATATTACCAGAGACAAAGAGGTTATGTTCTGATGATAAAAGGAGTAATCCATCAAGGAAACATAACAATTATAAACATATTAAGCACCGAACAACACAGTTCCTAAACACATTGTTATGGAACCAGGCTGGATCACTGGTGGCAAAACCAAGCGGCACTCAGAGATCTTGATGGATCAGAGTTTTATTTTACACCAGCGGGCTCAGAGGAGGTCCTTCTCCAGAGATCTGAGTCCTGAGCACAAGCATGGGGGACAATTTATCTTCTGTTACTTCCGCATTCTGCATTAGTAGTAATTTGGTGCAGGCAAATTACTTGGCTGCAGACAAGCAGGGCAGGAAGAAGAACCTGGAAGAGGAGTCTGTAGACCTTATGTTAGTCCCGTGGGCCATCTTATGGTGCAGAACTTTACTTATTTTCCCAACAACATGAATATTTCCAGAGTTGTACATTATACAATTTAAAATGTCTTATTTTAAATGGTAAAGACTAGCATAGTTAAAAGAAGAAATAGACCATTCAACAATAATTGGAAGCTTTAGTAGCCCATTTTCAGTAATATATTGAGCAATATACCATAAAAGTGAATGATAAAAGACTTAAACACCAGAATAAGCCAATGAGACCCACTAGACCTCTATAGAACACTCCACTCAACAACAAAATGCGTTATTCTCAAGTGCACATGGAATATTCTCTAGGAAAGACAATGTGTTACACCACAAAACAAGTCTCAGTAGATTTAAAACGTTCAAAATCATACAAAATATGTTCTACCACCACCACGGAATTAAATTAAAAATCAGAAAGAAGTTTGGGGAATCCACAAATATGTGAAACTTAACACAGAGAAGAAATCACAGAGATTTCTTTGAGATGACTGAAATTAAAAGCTTAACATACCAAAGCTTATACAATGCAGCTAAGGCAATGCATAGAGGAAAATTATAGCTTTATATGTCTAAATGTGTATACTAAGAAAGAAGATTTCAAATCAATAACCTAAACTTCCACCCTAAGAACCTAGAAAAAGAAGGGAAACTAAAAGCAAGCATATAGAAGTAAAAAATAGATAAGAATAGAAATAAATGAAAGAACAGAATAGAAAAGGTCAACAAAACCTTTAGCTAGACAGAGAGAGAGAGAGAGGGGGGAGACCCAAATTACTAGATTTAGGAATGAAAGAGAAAACATTTTTATCCTTACAGAAATGAAAAAGATTATAAGGAAATACTATGAATACCAACAGATTAGATACCATAGATGAAAAAGATAAATTTCTGGAAAGGTACAAACTACCAAAACTGAGTCAAGAAGAACTAAAAAGTTAGAATAGACCTATAACAAGTAAAGAAATTTAATTGGTAATTTTAAAGCATAACACGCAGAGAAACCCAGGTCCAGAAGGCTTCACTGGTGAATTCTACCAAATATTTATGGAAGAATTAACGCTGAATAATTTTCCCAAACTCTTCCAATATATAGAAGAGGAGGAATCACTTCTCAACTAATGCTAGCATGTACGTATTACACTGATATTACAACAAGACAAAGTCATCACAAGAAAACTCCAGACCAATGTTTATTATGAACATAGATAAAAATCCTCAAGAAAATGCTAACCAACTGAACCCAGCAACATGTAAAAAGGATTATACATTGTCACCAAGTAGGATTTATCCCCAGAATGCAAGGTTGGTTCAAGATGAAAAAAATCAATCAATATAATATACTATATTAATAGAATAAAGGACATAAACCATACGATTATCCAAATAAGACTCAGAAAAAGCATTCTACATAATTCAAAGCCCTTTCATGATTAAAAAAAAAACCTCAAAGCGGTAGGAATAGAAGGAGACTTCTTCAACCTGATAAAGGGCATCTACTAAAAACAAACAAACAAAACAAAACAAAACAAAACAAAAACAACACCATAGCTAACAAAGAGCATCCTGATTGGTAAAATTTCCCCTAAGATCAGACATGGGACATGAATGTTTGCTCTCACCCTTCTAACTCAACATTGTACTGATTGCTATAACCAAGACAATCAGACAATAAAAACAAATAATGTGCAAGCAAATTGAAAAGAAAGAAGTAAAAGATTTTCTTTTTTTTTTAAGATGATGAAAAAATGTATTTAGAAAATTCTTAGGAATACAATCCACCAGGAATTCAATGTATACACACACACACACACACACACACACACACACACACCATTAGAACTAATAAAAAAAGTTCAGCAAGGTGTAAGATCAATATACAAAAATCAATTGTATTTTCTTTTTTTTTTTATTTTTTTTTTAACATTTATTTATTTTTGAGACAGAGTGAGACAAAGCATGAACAGGGGAGGGTCAGAGAGAGGGAGACACAGAATCTGAAACAGGCTCCAGGCTCTGAGCTGTCAGCACAGAGCCCGACGTGGGGCTCGAACTCACAGACCGCAAGATCATGACCTGAGCCGAAGTCAGCCGCCTAACTGACTGAGCCACCCAGGCGCCCCTGTATTTTCTACATTAACAATGAACAATCCAAAATTGAAATTTATAAAATAATTCCATTTAAAGTAGCATCAAAAGAAATAAAATACTTCTGTTCCACAAATGGCATTGGGAAAACTGGACAGCTACATGCAAAAGAATGAAATTCAAGCACTTTCTTTCACCATGCAAAAAAAATAAACTCAAAATGGATTAAAGACCTAAATGTGAGGCCTGAAACCATAAAAATCCTAGAAGGAGCACAGGCAGTAATTTCTCTGACATTGGCTCTAGCAACATTTTTCTAGATATGTTTTCTGAGGCAAAGGAAACAAAAGCAAAAATAAAATGTTCGGATGACATCAAAATTCCTTCTGCACAGTGAAGGAAATAATCAACAAAACTAAAAGAAAACCTACTGAATGGGAGAAGATATTTGCAAATGGCATATTTGATAAAGAGTTAGTATCCAAAATATATAAAGAACTTACACAACTCAACACACACAAAAAACAAGTCATCCAATTTAAAAATGGGCAGAAGACATGAACAGACATTTTTCCAAAGACAACATCCAGATGGCCAACATATACATGAAAAGATGCTCAACATCACTCATCATCAGGGAAATACAAATCAAAACTCTGATGAAATATCACCTCACACCTGTCAGAATGGCTAAACTCAGCAACAAAAGAAACAGCAAGTGCTAGTGAGGATGTGGAGAAAAAGGAACACTTTTGCACCACTGGTAGGAATGCAACTGGTGCAGCCACTGTGGAAAACATTATGGAGTTCCCTCAAAGAGTTAAAAATAGAACTACCCTACAATCCAGTAAATGCACTACTGGGTATTTACCCAAAAAATACAAAACCCCTAATTCAGAAAGATATTGCAGTGTTATTTACAATAGCCACATTATGGAAGCAGCTCAAGTGTCCATCAATAGATGAATGGATAAAGAAGATGTGGTATATATACAACTGAGTATTACTCAGCCATGAAAAAGAATGAAATCTTGCCATCTGCCACAACATGGATGGATCTAGAAAGTATAATGCTAAGTGAAATAAGTCAATCAGAGAAAGACAAATACCATCTGATTTCACTTATATGTGGAATTTAAGAAACAAAACAGATGAACATAGGGGGAAAAAAAAGAGAGAAAGACAAGACAAGAAATAGACTGTTAACTTTAGTGAACAAACAGATGGTTACCAAAGGGAAGGGGGTAGGGCATGGGTGAAAGAGGTGATGAGGATTTAAAAAAAAGGAATAGGGGCACCTGGGTGGCGCAGTCGGTTAAGCGTCCGACTTCAGCCAGGTCACGATCTCGCGGTCCGTGAGTTCGAGCCCCGCGTCGGGCTCTGGGCTGATGGCTCAGAGCCTGGAGCCTGTTTCCGATTCTGTGTCTCCCTCTCTCTCTGCCCCTCCCCCGTTCATGCTCTGTCTCTCTCTGTCCCAAAAATAAATAAACGTTGAAAAAAATTTTTTTTTTAAAAAAAGGAATAAAATACTTAGAAATAAATTTAATAAGACAAGTATAAGACTTAAACACTGAAAACTACAAAATATCACTGAAGAAAATTAAAGAAAACTTAATAAATGGAAAAACATTACATACTAAATTTATGGAAGACTAAATCTTGTTAAGATGGCAGTACTCCCTACATTCCTCATCAACATCCCAGCTGCCTTTTTTGCAAAAATTGATAAGCTAAAATTCTTATGTAAATTTGAGGTACTCAGAATAACCAAGACAATCCTGAAAAAGAACGAAGTTAGATGACTGACACTTCCTGATTTTAAAACTTACTGCAAAGCTATAGTAATCAAGACAGTGTGGTTCTAGAAAAGGATAGGCATTGGGGCACCTGGGTGGCTCAGTCGGTGAAGCATCAGCCTTCTGCTCAGGTCATGATCTCACACTTTGTGGTTTTGAGCCCCGCATAGGACTCTGTGCTGACAGCTCAGAGCCTGGAGCCTGCTTCGGATTCTGTGTCTCCCTCACTCTCTGCCCCACCCCTGCTTGCACTTTGTTTCTCTCTCTCTCTTTCAAAAATAAAATAAAAACATTAAAAAAAATTTTAATAGAATAAGGATAGGCATATATATATCAATAGACTAGAACTAAGTATTTATCAACCTGTGGTCTATAATTTTTTTACAAGCATGCCAAGATAACTCAATGGGGGAAAGAATAGTCTTTCAACAAATGGTGAATAAAGTTGGACCTGTACCTCACTCTACACACAGAAATGAACTCAAAAGCAGCAAGGACTTAACTGTAAAAATGCAAATTATAGACCTCTTAGGAGAAAACATTGTGCAAATCTTAATATCCTTAAATTTGACAAGGGCATCTTAGATATGACACCAAAAGCCCAAGCTTTGTCAAAGTGAAAAAAAGTGTGTTTTAAAGGACACCACCCAGAAAGTGGAAAGACAACCTATAAAATGGAAGATATATTTGTAAATCATATATGATAATAGTCTAGTATCCAGAATATATAAAGAACTACTACAACTCAACAATGAAGACTAATAACCCAATTTTTTTAATGGGCAAGGATTTGAATAGACATTTCTCCAAAGAAGATATATACATGACAAATAAGCACATGAAAAGATGCTCAACATCATTAGTCTTCAGGGAATTGCAAAAATTCAACGATGAAATACCACTTCCCAACCACTAACATGACTAGACTACAAAAGACAGACAATAATAAGTGTTAGGGAGGATGCAGAGAAATTGGAACCCTCATGCACTGCTGGTAGGAATGCATAATGGTGCAATCCCTTTGGAAAACAGTTCCTCAAAAAGTTAAAAATAGAGTTATCATCTGACTCAACAATTCTACTCCCAGGTAGATATCCAAGGGAAATTAAAATGTAGGTCCACTCAAAAGCTTGTATACAGATGTTGATAGCATTGTGAATAACAGCAAGATTGTGAAAATAACATGTGTCCATCAACTCATAAGTAAACAAAATTTGATATATCTAGACAATGAAATATGATTCATCCATAAAAAAGAATGAGGTAGTGATACTGTGACATGGATGAGTCTTGAAAATATTATGCTAAGTGAAAGAAGGCCGACACAAAACGTGTCCTAGTGCATGCTTCCATTTGTATGAAATGTCTCAAATATTCAAGTTCATAGAGAGAGCAGTCCATAGCCACTGGTTTCCAGGAGCTAGGGGCAGGAGTGATGCAGAGTGACTGCTCGTGGTTGTCACGGTTTCTTTTCGGGATGGCGAAAATGCTCTTAAGTTACTGATAATGTTTGCACAAGTTTTTGGATAAACTAAAATCCACTGAGTGTATACTTTAAAAGGGTGAACTTATGGTATGTGAATTATGTGTCAAAAATGAGTCTATCTGAACCACACATCTTTACATGAAAGCTAATACTTAAGGACTGTGTCAGCCACCAGAGGAATGGGGACAATTAAAACCTCCTAAAAGCATTTGTCCCATAGCTTCTGACTCTCTTCGACTTACTTCTTGCCCAAGAACATGAAGGATTCCAGACATTTTGAGTAGAGGCAAGTGTGTTTATTTCAATTAAAATATATATTTTTTATTTTCTTATTAAATATCTTAAATAAGAAGATGCCAAAAGAAATATTAAAGTGAGTAGATAAATTATGAGGACACAGAAGAAATTATATCTTAATTATTCAGTTTGCCTCTTTTTTTTTTTTTAATTTTTTTTTCAACGTTTATTTATTTTTGGGACAGAGAGAGACAGAGCATGAACGGGGAAGGGGCAGAGAGAGAGGGAGACACAGAATTGGAAACAGGCTCCAGGCTCCGAGCCATCAGCCCAGAGCCCGACGCGGGGCTCGAACTCACGGACCGCGAGATCGTGACCTGGCTGAAGTCGGACGCTTAACCGACTGCGCCACCCAGGCGCCCCAGTTTGCCTCTTTATCAGGGAGGCCTTCCCAAAGCCAAAGTCCTCTCTTGGGTAATGTGTTTTTCCTGGAAACGAGAGTTTATGGCTAAGATCTATAGATAATTATTTCTCCTGAAATGATTTTCCAAATCCCTGAAATTTAACAAGACGCTTCTAAATAATTTCTCTCTTTCTGTTACCCTTCTAGGTGTTACCTCCCAACACAGGCTGCCTTCACATTGATCGGGATTGTTCAGCTATATATTGCCATGAACCAAGCAGTGATATATACCATCCTTTCCAAAAACGTGAGCAGCTAAGAGCTAGCAGGTACATCATGAAGCACACATCAGAGATTATCTGTGAGGTCCTGGATCCTGAGGGAAATACCTTTCAGGTAAAGTGCACCATTAGTGTGGAGTGAGAGGCTGGGGCTTTGTTTTTGAGATATTTCGACCAGAGAGCTTCCATTCAGCTTTATGCCTTAGCTGCCTTGGGATTAGTTATCCACTTGCTGCCAATACTTAGCATAAGCAGTAATGGATGCCAATATCTCTGCTTCTAAAGTGTACTTCCAAGGGTATAGAAAATCCTAACAGTTGGGATGGTATAAACGTTAAAGCCAAATAAAGAATTCGAACGGAAGGGGGGGAATACTACTAAACATTTAAAATAATGCCAATGAGAAAGAAATGATGTAAGAATGGTCTGTATCCAGGCTAAAGCGAGAGAACCAGTTTGTTTGACTAGGCGGGGAATCCGTGGTGCGCAATATCAATTAGGGAAGATTCTAGTAGGTGTGAAGATGGGGAGGTGGACAGGTGCTTAGCTGTTAGATGGTAGAGCTCTCTCTTCTGTTTTTCTGTCCTTCCACACCACAGCTATCCTCTTATAGCGAGGCCAGAAACTGGCAAACCATGGCCACTTGTCTATATAGACCCTTGAGAGAAAAATGACTTTCATATTTTTAAATGGTTGGCAAAAAGTCAAAAGGAGATGAATATTTCATGACACATAAAAATCACAGGAAATTCAAATCTCAGTGTCATTATACAGTTTTATTGGAACACAGCCACGCTTATTTGTTCACACATTGTCTATGGCTGCCTTTGCATATAATGGCAGAATTGAGTAGTTGCAACAGACATTGTATGGCCTACAGTTCCTAAACTATTTACTTTCTGGCCCTTGACAGAAATGGTTTGCCAGCCCCTGCTCCAAGCGTTTCTCCTTGTTTTCACTCCTCACCCAAGACGGTGTATCAGCTAGTACGTGGTGTAGTGATTTTCCAGATTTGGAGCCATAGCACAGAGTCCCCAGCTTTGGTTTGGTACGCAGACTAGCCCTGATCCAGCTTGTTTTTTTCTGTGCTAAATGAGTCTTTCCAGCGTGAGTTCAGGCTGCTAACAGATTTTCATTTGTAGTGAATTGAAATTGAACCTTATAGGCCTGAGCCCTCTAGGCTTTAAACACATGGGACATTCAGGCCAAACGTTCTTCTAGGCACTGATACTCTTCTTGAACATCCCCTCCAGTGATCTTTTAGCCTGAACTACATCTCTTCCTGGAGAGACCCACACCAGATCTAAACAGTAGTGATGGCTAGAACATTTCTTCTCACGCTAAATCTGTTTCCCTTTCTAGTCTATTCATGAATCCCAATTCCACACTTGCAACCACAGAATATGAACTTCTCCCACACTGCCACTTTCTTAATATTTCAAGACAACTCTCAGATGGGTAGCCTCTCCTCAATGGTTAAATCCCCGGTTCTGTGAACCAATGCTCAGATAAGATTTTGAGTCCCTTGCGATCCTACTCACCTTACTCTGAGTATATTCCAGTTTGTCTTCATAGTCTAGGTGTGGTCTGTAAGTAGAGATGTTTTTGCTCTTATTAATGCCAACTGGACTTAGTGTGTATTACCTTGGAGATAAATATCTCTGGTTTTCTGGATATACCAACAGATCGCATGCTTTCTCAAATGAGAAATGTAAGCTTTATGACATTTCTTTTCTTTAGTTGATTATATACTTTGTCCCATAGGTAATGGCTGATGGTACTGTATCAACTATGCTATGTGAAAACAATTTGGTAGATGATCCAAATGAAAAAACTGAAGGCTATGATAGTTTATCATCTACTCACGTTTATAAGAATCATCCGCAAATCTATGGTGAACATGTACCCAGGTAATATGATAAAAATAATACCATGACCTTTATTTTAAATGTTACGTTTCAGGAGCATTTTAACTGAACACTTCACGCGATTCAATTTTATTGCGTCAAATAGGTTTTTTGTCATTTATGCTGATGGATCAGGAGCGGAACTTCTTCGAGACAGTGACATAGAAGAATACCTATCCTTGGCACACGGGGAATCAACTACTGTAGTTCTCCAGGAGCCAATACAAGAACAGCCAGGTAGGGAATCCAGAATGTCTGGAAGTCATTGTGTCTCCTTACCAGCATCCAGCCCCCTTATTCAGTCCACCCCCACGTCATCTCTACTTTCTCCCTTTTTCTCCCTTTTCAACTCTACTTGCCACATCGCCATGTCAACCTGTTTATACAGCTACTTATGCTCACTCCAAGCTTTATCTGGGCATCGACGTATGTAAACTGTATATAAGCCCCTCTCCTACCTGTAAGCAGATCTGAATTGAATCGGAGTTTAGGTACGGTAGGCATGTATCTGTGATCCTATTTATGTGTTCCTTTCATCTGGCTAGGGGAAAAAAAAACAAAGAAAAGTGAGATATCACTTGTAAGTTTTTTTTTTGAAGGTGTTGCCTTGATGAACTTAATATATTAAGAAAAGAAAATACGTTTGATGTGTGAGTTAGAAAGTCAGCCTGAAATATAAGATAAGTTATATATATAATTATATTTATTGTGTATTTATACTGTTCTCATCAATTTCAAAGAAATCAGTGTGTGGCTAAGGGTTCGAGATACATATTGCATTAAGAAAGCATCATCGGTGTATGTTATATGTGCATTTAAACATAGATATAAACGTGCATATTATCTGTGAATGAAACCAATGGGTTGTGCTTAGGTTTATGTTTCGTCTTTTCTCTGGTGGTATATACTTTGCACTCATTTATGAATATGCCTGCATCTGCGCACTTATATCTTTTAGTGTATCAATGCATGTGTGCGTGATAAAATAAACTTTGTTCTTTGTGAATATGGGGAGTGGGGTGCTCTGATTGGTTGTGCAAGGCTTCATCACAAATTCCTCTGTTAGTTATTTAGCATCTAGTAACCCAGCATGTGCCAAACACACTGGCTGGGTGTTAGGAATACAGTGTGAGCTAAGACAGCGTGGACCCTGCTTTCATAGTGCTTAGAGTTTAATGAGAGGATAGGCATTAATTATATAGTCACACAATAACTGTGATTGTGTGATTATAAATTGGGGTAAGGTCTGTGAAGGAAAGGAATATGGTTCTATGAGAGCATTAACAGAGGAACCTGCTGTAGTCTACAAGGCTTCCCTGAAGACACTGGCACCAAGAGCTGGTGGATAAGTAGCAGTTAATTAAAATAGGAGGGAGAGCCTTCTTGGAAGAGACAGTACAAAGCAGAAAGCAAAAAGCCTTGGAGAACCGGGAGGAAAATGCTGAAGTGGCCAGGGCACAGAAGGAGGGGGTAGTGCAAGTTAAGGCAGGGTGAGAAAACACCGAGGACTCGGGTTTGTCCTGTGAACAGTGGGAAGTCAAAGAAGAGTTTAAACCATGGACTAACATAATCAGTCACTCTGACCGCTGGCGGGAGGTTCACTCGCAGAGTAGAGCTGGGTAGAAAAGCTAGTTGTTGCTCTAGCCCAGAACAGCATCTCTCAGAGGCAGATGATCCAAGGTAGGTCAGTGGGTAAGCTCAAGTGAACCGACAGGACTTGGTTGTGGTTTTTGAAGAATAGTAAGGTGTCAATGAATAATTCCAGGTGATCTAAACCCAGTCTCTAGGTGTTACAGTGGCCAAAAGCCTTACTTTACTTGTTAGATTGTAAGCTTCTTAAGCATAATCACTATGTCTCACTTATCAAAAAGCTCGCTGAATTTAGTGAAAACCTATTGAATTCTCAGAATGTATTTGATAGAGAAATGATCCACTGATAACTCTCTTTGAACCAGGTGCCCTGAGCATCACTGTCCTTCGCCCTTTCTGTGAAGCATCACCATGGCTAATGAAGAAAGAATTAGATACAATTGTTCCTCCGAATCTCCAGTCAAGGTCATGGGAGATGTTTCCCTCAGTGGAGGTATAAATTTTTTCTGCTGCAAAGTCACTACACTATTGCACATCTATTTCATCAATGGATTGGAGTCTCCAGTCTTCTCCCTTATATTCGTATATTTTCATTCTTACATAAACTGTTAATGGGCTCGGGAGTTTTATATTTGAAGACTTTTAACATTTGTAGATTTTGGAGAAATACACCTGACTAGCTTTATTTCTTTTAGCCTGTGTTGCAGGCTCAAACGTCTTCCTATAGTATGGAAATATCCACTCTAAGTAACACGTGTTATACCTCTCCTATCATGGAATTACTGATACTATGCAATACAGAAAGCTTTCCTTCTCTCATTTCTTATTTGTTAGTTTTAACACCCAACTTCAGGTCTCCTTTTTTGCCTAATTTACTAATGCACGAACGGAAGCACGTAAGAATGATGTGAAGGACTATACAAAGGATACGCAACTACAATGATAAAAAGTAAACGTTGTGATTATGTCAGATTAGAGAAGCTCCATTGAAAGTCTTTTTAAAGAATGGAAGAAAAGGTCTTAGAGATCTTGAGCAAGAATCATGAAGTCCTATACCTTGCAAGACTTGACACTTCATTTTGCAAGCCATTTGTGTAATAGGCCCAGTATATTGTTAGATGATAAATTATTAGATCAATGAGGACATTGATAATATGATCAGAGAGACATTCAAGTGTTAGGTGGGGAGGACAACGTTTTTTGGTTTATGATGATTTTGGTTCCCCTGCACAACCTTGTAATAGCAAGGGCACAGACAATGAACACTTAAGGTAACAAAGACCTCTGAGTCCTATTTTGTAATTTGGCGGCTATAACCAACACAATGAGTGAAAAGCATCTGAATTCTAGTCCTGAGTCTACCAATTATTAATGTGGGATAGGGGACAAGCCACACTGGACCTCTACTTCCATATCTGAAAAATAGAAAGGCCACACCAAATGACTCACTAAGGCTATATCCAGGTTGAAAGTAGTGCTTCATGACAAATAACATGCCACATCTGAGCTTAATGAAAGAAGTTTATTCTCTTTCTCTGCAACTCCTATGGCTCTGGCCTTCTATGCCCAGTCACAGTGGCCCAGCCCAGGCAAGCCCCTCAGGGTTATCACTGACCAGGCATCAGACCAGGCAGTTTACAATGGAGCAGTTTACAATAGCAGTTTACATCAGGCACGCTACAGGACGTAGGGCATCAAAGCACACTACTCCTGAAAATCAATTACAAGGGTAACATAAAGCTGTGAGTCTAATCCGAGGCAGAACATATGTACCCCAAGAGACCCTGGGAAGACTCTGGAGGCATGCTTAATCTAGAGTGAGCTCAGAGACCACTCAGATCTATGGGATGACTTTTCTCTCTCAAAGAATCTCTCTAAGGTCAACATGAACATGAAACCAGAAAGTGAAAGCCTGATTATTCCAGATGTCTTGGGCTGCTTGTGGGTAAAAAGCAACAGTGCATTTATGCATTTTTCATAAGCTAGGCTACATTTCCATGATGCGACATTGCTTACTACTCTCCAAATGCTATCCAGTGGGACAGCACTGGATAATGCTACAGGATTTTAATATATCCAAGTTCCTGGTAACGCATATGAAGAGGAAAGCGTGCCCAGTTCTCTTACCAATTTCCCTTCTATTTGAGAAACATTTTGGGAGTAGGGACCGTATGTTTTTGACCACCGTATTCCCTAACGAGTGGTTCCTAGCATCGTGTCTACATAATAAGGACTCAGTTAAAAAAAAAAAAAAGCGAAAACATTCTGATTTTTTTGGTGGTTGTTTTGCTTCATTTTGTTAACAGAAGAAGACTCCTGGACCTCCATTTGGCACTCAGATTTGGAAGGGCCTTGACATTGGGTCCAAACAGCTAGCAAGTGCGCCGGCCCCTATACTCAAGAGCCCCAGTGTTCTACAGATGCGCCAGTTCACCCAGCACGAGGTCATAAAAGAGGAGGTGAAGCAAAAGCTGCAGATTTCCCTTAAGGTAATGGAATCCGGGTCACCCGACCCAGAGGAATCAGCAACAGGGCAATCATTCCTCTTGGTTTCCTGAGGAATCTGAAATTATGTCACTGTACCAATATTTATCTAATGCGACAAAGGAATGTCAATTTTCCAGAGGGTAGGAGGTTGAGAAGTAGAAAATACTCAATGGTTCCCAGAAGGTATAGGAAGTATTGAGACCCTAACGCACTGAAAAGATAGGTAACTTTTATATACGATTACTATATAGTGTCCTCCTTCTCTCTTACTGTATGGGGAACTGGCTTTGTGACCTCTGGAAAAAAAAGTACAGCTGCTTATTAATCTGCTACTTGTCCATGGAAGAAAAGGATTGTTGGTTTTCGGAAATGGTCTAAGAATTTGTAAATATATAGTTAATTGTGCACATCGTACCTATAGCATCTTACTGTCTAGTTTGTCAACTGTCTCTGAATGGGATTATATTTGTTTTGTTTATGGTTATATACCCAGCACCTGGCATACAGCGGGGGACGATTTATTTATGAAAATAGATGTTTATGGAAAAAGTAAAGTGTATTTCTCTTGGAAGCCAAGGCATAGACTAAGCCTAAACTTACATTCATAGACAGGATCATAAAGACTACCCTTGGAAGGGCTCTAGAAACCATCTAACCCAAGTCCGTACATTTTATTGATGAGGACACCGGAGCACAGAGCTAGCTGTCTCTGTGGCATCTCCATATAGTTCTAAGATCTTGTGGCCCTCAAGCTTTGTTTTTGGACATTTCAGGTCTTTGCTCATTAATGTAATCAAGGAAAAGGTTTTCCAGATTGCTCGACCAGTAACTGGTTTGTTGAGCACTGGGAACTTACATACTCTTACCTTTTCAGTAGTATTTCAAGTTGATGTTCACTGTTTTGGTGTTTCTGCCTCATTTCTGTTTTTTATTGATTTATTTTATTCCGCTGACTTAGGATTATATAAACCATATTCTAAAGAAAGAAGATGAACTACAGGAAATGACGGTTAAGGATTCCAGAACCGAGGAGGAAAGAGGCAATGCTGCAGATCTCCTCAAGCTCGTCATGGTGAGAAGGAAATGTTTTCAGTACCAATGTTTTCACTGTTGTTTCAATATCAGGTGCTTCAAGACAAAATATTACACCTCATAGCTGTTTCTGCCACTTCCATGGAACATTCGCCTTCCCTCCCTATAATTTCTTATTTCTGGGGAAAATCTGATTCCTCATGGATTGAATTTTCCAAAAGCTTCTTAGGCCCTTCCTTAAACTGTATATAATTCTGAAGGCTCTTAAATAAAAGTTTATACTGTCTTCAGAGAAAATGATGTTTATTGGAATGTGGAATGAATTAGTGAATGAAGGAGGAAGGAGGAAGAAAAAGGAATTTCTACAACTTGAAATGACTTGCATTTTTAAAAATTCTGTCGTGTGGAAGGAATGACTACAAAAAATCAAATACATTTTGTACTGGCATTAAAAAACGAATTCATTTGATAGTAATTTTCCATGAAGAATGCTGTAAAACCAAGTGAATTTGTATGTAATATAATCATCATCATTAAGGAATTCTATCTTCATTTCAGTCGTTCCCTAAAATGGAAGAAACTACAAAAAGTCATGTAACTGAAGGTAACTACATATTTTTCTGCAAAATATTTAAAAATCTTAAATATCCTTCTCAGTCATTCCTTTGAGAGCAAAGTACCATGTATATATATATATTTCTGTTGTCATATTGGCCATGTTGTATTATAATTACTTATTTATGTATTTTTTCAGCCTACATTGTGAAACATGGCTGCATCTAATTTATCTTTAACTTTCATTTGTTGAATGAAAACAGTTGACATTTGACTTTTATGTTAACCTCAGCATGTATTTCCAACATACCTAAGACAGAAGGGGGAAACAACCAACCAGTCAACGCTCTCCCCCAACACACACACACACACACACACACACACACACACACAGAACTTTTGAGCAACTACACAGTTACCACCAAAACCTTGCACTATTTTACACTGAATATATAGCTCAAGCAGTCTACCCTTGGAAAATATCCTCATTCAAAGCATATTTATTTGGAGAATATATAGCCCCAGCGAACTTAGTTATATGATTTCATAGTTCACAGCAGACAAGCAGGGAAGCATTTGGTGGTTTGGGCTTTTCTTTTCCTTTTCTATTTTGGTTGTATTACAAAGGTCAGAAACTGGCAGCCATAGGCTTCATTTAGCCCACAGATGTGTTTTATGTGTCCCCCACAGGGTTGGCTTACACAGTTATTTTTAGCTGATTTTCCATCTCTTGAAATGTGACATTACCGCATGGTGACATTTGGCTGAAGATGATTAAAGCTGCCCCTTTAGAATGACCACAAACAGAAGAATCTGTTACAGCCCATCGCTGCCACTCTGTTGTCTCTCTTTTATCTGGGCAGCCCATTAAGTTATGGTTGTCAGATTTAGCAAATAAAAATACAGAAGGCTCAGTTACATTTGAATTTCAGGTACACAATAAGTAATCTTTCAGTATAAGTTCTATTGAATGTTCTATTTGGGACATACTTATACCAAAAAACTATTTGTTGTCCATCTGGAGTTCAAAGTTAACTGGATGCCCTATACTTTATCCGGTAACTGTAAGTGGCAGCATTTGAATTTGTGGTCTCTGGTCTGAGGGGTACAATCACCATCGAGGTAAATGTGCAGGTTGCCTAATAATGAAGAACAAACTAAACATATTTTCAAACATATAAACAAACCAACAAACAAACAGGGTCTTGCATAGTTACAGCCACAATATTAGTGGTGGTGATTTTAAGTCAATGCTCCCCAAACTATTTCCTGAAACACTAGTCTATGAAATGGCTGCACCAAAAATGAATTTTATGATAAAGTAAGTTTGGATAATGCTGCATATTTCCTTATTTTTTAGAGAGCCACAGTGTATGCTGAGTCCTACAGTAACAAAACATATTTAACCTTGTATAAATCAGTATTTCCCAAGCTCAGATAGAACACGGAAACTTTTTTTTTTTTAATCTTTGTTAACATCCCACTGAGATCGTGATCTGAGGAATAAACTCAGAATAACTGCCCGGATTATCAAACAACCATTGTATCATGTTAATATTCTTAGATTCAGACCCTTAGATTTTTTTTTTTTTTTTAGAAAAACAGTTTCAGTAAGATGGTTAATTTTTTTTAAAAGTTTTGGTGTTTCAGATCTGAAGAAATTCAGTTAGGTAAAACACTGATTCCCCAAATGATGTGGGATGAATGAGATGTCACTACATTCTACATTTGGACAGTAAGGTGTGTGTTCTCTAATAGAATATTTGATAAAAGTGGTCTGGTTTACTGTTATACTACAGTTTGGTCAGGGAAATTCTAGTGAACACTTGATAGATTAAATATAAGCTCTTAGAAAACCTCTCAAGTGAGTCACCAGGCACTGATTGTATGTGGTGCCGTAAAGATGTGAGGATAAATTTAAATGCATCTATTTTTAAAGTTGCAGCCCACCTAACCGATTTATTCAAGCAATCATTGCCTGCCGCTCCGGAATGTCTGCCAGAGACAACTGATGCAGATTTCTTTGAAAGGAAATGGAGGTAAGCGGATCCCTTAATGTGTTCCAATTAGTATTAAGCATACAGTGATGGAGGAAATGGAGAGCCGTGGCATCATACCTCGGGGTGACTATATCAGTGCATCCTCAGCCTTTCATCTCCGACATTGCCAACAATTTATCACACAGTAGAGGTTTTTCTTTTATTGTTTGTAAGCTGAGAGCCTTGCCCTTTTTCATCATACTTTCCTTTCATGCAGGCAAACAACAAAAGGAAAGCACTGGAAAGAAAAGTTGGAACATAAGAGGTAATTCTATCTTGAAGCACGGTATCCATCAGCATGTGAAAATGGCCAGTTTTGTAGAGTCAGGAATTTTAGAGTGGGCTAGGTTGAAAAGTCCTACCACCTAGGCTCCCTGCCGTTGTCTGAATTTCTTCCACATTTTTGCCAAGTGGCTACTCCGCTTATGAGTGAGGCTGTCACTATCTCCAGGGGAAGCCCATTTGACCCTCATGCAGATCCTCTCCTTTTTGTAAGCAAGAAAGTTCTCAGGTATTCTCTGCGCTGTGGCAATTCGAATATACTAATAAATATTCTAGAACTTAAGAGACTAGTCATAAACATTCAAGGATTCCTCTAACTCAGTGAAGAATGTGTTCCAGGCATTATGTGCTTTTCTTTTTTTTTTTTCAACATTTATTTATTTTTGGGACAGAGAGAGACAGAGCATGAACGGGGGAGGGGCAGAGAGAGAGGAAGACACAGAATCGGAAACAGGCTCCAGACTCTGAGCCATCAGCCCAGAGCCTGACGCGGGGCGCGAACTCACGGACCGCGAGATCGTGACCTGGCTGAAGTCGGACGCTTAACCGACTGCACCACCCAGGCGCCCCTGTGCTTTTCATTCCTAGCCAAAGATACCACCCCGTGAGGAAAGGGAGCCAGATGTATTTACTGAGAATCCAGTAGTACATATGGTACACTTGCACACATTTGCATGACTCCTCTCCACAATGACTGGAGGAAGGATGAAGATTCTTCTTCAAAAGAATGCCTGGGTTACCCTGTAGAATGTACGGGAGAAGTGGTGAGATAGGACATTGCATCTCATGGGCCACCCCTGTATTCAAGGTCAAACTAGAAGGTATACGTTGTCTCATGGAATATCCCTGATTTCTAGACCAGTGACAATGATTGCCTGTGGGGAAGCCGACCGAGAGGTTAGGGGACAGTGTGGGATGGAGACTTCCTTTTTATTGCATACTCTTTAATCCTGTTTTTCATTATGTGTCTGTGTTACCCATTCACATTTTTAAAGTTCTTGAAACATGAACACTTTCAGATTTTAACCCACAGGTAGATGCTGGCAAGCCAATGAAAGTTTTTCAAGAAGAAAGTGAAACGCATAATTAGATTTGTGTCATTGAAAGAGAAGTTTTTGGCAGCGTGGAAAATGGGTTTGGGGAGGAGGGTTAAGGAATGAGAAGGTCTCAGGGGCACGGAAGGTGAACCACAAAAAGGTCAGGTTCCGTGGAAGAATCAGAAAGGTGAATGCAGAGAGGAATTGGAGGTTATCAACTGGAGGACTTATTCTTGTGTGAGAATGGTTCCTGTCAAGGCAGTAGCCCCACTGCCATAGATTGATGATGAATCAGGTGAGGCAGTAGAGATAAGATAACGTAATGGGAAATTAAAGTTGTTTCAGTAAGATGCTATTTTGATTCGGGCAGTATTTCCTGACAGGCCAAGCTAGTGTGAGAGAAAGGACACTAGTGTTAGAGTCAGCCGACCGAGAGTCCGTTCCAACTTGGTTACGTACAGATGCGTGATGTCAGCTGGTCGTGCTTATTTTTTAGAGAGCCACGGTGCACCCTAGGTCCTACGGTAACAAAACGTGTTCAACCTTGTATAAATCAGCATTTCCCAATTTACTGATTTCCATCAGTAAAATGTACCTCAGGAATTCAGTTTGCTCATCTGTAACAGGAGGGTGTTGGGCCGCCTAATATCGGAGGTGTCTCGGCCCAGACATTGGGCAGCTAACAGTTGACTAGCGTTTGCACTAATCAAGGTCATGGGCTCAGAGGCAGGCACCCTGGGTTTTAATTCAGACTTCACCTCTTACTGGTTATGTGATTCAAGGTAGGTTACTTAGCCTTTCTATACCTTGGGGTTTTTTGACCAATAAAAGGGGCATAATAAGAGTAACTCACGGAGTTATTACAAGATTAAACGTGTAAAGCACTTTGTAAAATTTCTGGCATGTGAGACGCACTTAAAAATGAGAACTATTTCAGATAAGATGAGGTCCAGCTACATTTAACAGACAACCCCCCAAATCAGTGCTTTTACAAGAAAGAAGCTTATCTTTCCTGATGTCAAAGAAGTCAGAAGTGGTGCATGACTTCCATCCTCAAGGTTGCCTCATGGTTGCAAAATCACTGCCACAGCTGCAGCCATTCCATCCATATTTCATCCATTCATTCCATATTTCATTCATTCATCCATATTTCATTCCATTCATATTTCATCCATATTTCCTACTGGAAAAGAGGTGAGGCAAGGACAAAGGGAAAGCCTCCCAGCTGAGTTAGATCTCTTTAAAGGCTATCTGGAGTCTTACCCAGTGATGTCAGCTTACTAGTTACTGGCCTTCCCTATATATATAGGAAAGGCTGGGAAGTGAAGTCTTCAGCCTTCTAGTCTTTAGAGGTCTATCGCCTCCCCAACAGAGAGTTCTGATACTGGAAAGACAATTAGCAGAATTATCATGATTGTTTTTATTTTACTTTGTAATCACTGATCACACGATTCACAAACCACTGCTGAGGTTTTGGTTTTAGTTTCTGTTACCCTTGCTACTGAAATCATGGAAATTGGTAGAATCAAGCTGGCCTTTAAACCTCAGAGAATTGAAAGACACGCAAAAAAGGTCAACCGTGTGTATTTTAGTCTTTTGAGATCAACTGTAAAACCAAACTCCCACCTGGTATCATTATTTCTTACCTTAAATGAAAGCTGATTTTTGAAGTAGGGAATGTGACTGATTCTAGAAAGAGCAGAAAATGAACCAAAGCAAGCTGACCAAAAAAAGTTGTCTGATGAGTTCTTATCCGTTTTATTGTTAGCGATCCCATTTTCTGCAGGATTTAAAGGTAAAACACAAGCGAATAACATTGTAAAACATTCTGTCTTCTTTTGCATCGTTATGGAAATATCAACCAGGAAGGATATTGAAACCACACAAAATTACCTAATGGAAATTAGGAACAAAGTAATATCACCCTACTTCAACTTGGAAATGAGCAAGTTATGTCAGTCTAAGGTAATTGAACGTAATTAACAACAATTAAGTAAGAATCTTTATAGAGATTGATGCAATGCATGTGTCATTATGTAACCTACCTTTCCTGATGTTTCCTTCCTTCATCAGCCCAGCTGACTAACTTTACCTTTCAAATCCACGTCCTCAAGAGCATTTGAGGGGGAAAACTAATTTCAGGTCTTGCCAATTTATTACTACCACTCCAACTTCATACCTTGCATTATCACTATTAATCACCCTCTTTCATCTATTTCAAGTCCTTTTGGGAGTTGAATTCTCCCCACTTTTATCCCATAAATTCCATTTTGAAGTTTTTATCCCATTAAGATTTCTGCATCCATCAGCTGCTGAAACAGCACTAAATTACTGTGAGTTCTTGGAAGCCCGAGGAGACAGAGCACTCCCATGAAACCTTGGAACTTTTCAGCAAAGTGAATATCCTCATGTGTTTAGAGCTTGATGTATTTCTATGGATGTTCCAGGTGCTATTATTAACCGGAAGCTGCCTGAGAAGAAGTTACAGGAAGTTAGGACAGAATGACAAAATCTAGAATTGAGTTGAACGGTCTCTTGAAAAACTTTCAGTTTCAGAGCCTTAAAAAAGAAAAATGGTTTCATCATTGCTCTTCAACTTAACATGCTTGTGGAGGGTGCCTTCCAGGCATGCATAAGTCTAAAGTAAGTCTTTTGGATTTCTCTTTCAGTTTCATTATCTGGATACGCTTTCCAAAAACTTGCCTCCTTTTCCAAAGACAGCGGAAGCCGCAGACGAAACAGCTGTTCAGAAAACATCCGATCTTCCTCCAGGTAATGTGTTTCTGTAGCTTCCTGTTCCTGTCACTGAACTTAAATGAGGAATGCCTAACAATGGCCTCTTAGGACATAACTAGTTCCTATCGCCTCTTGTCTCAGTAACGGCTGATGGCATAACCTATTGTGACTTGTGTATTACAAATTTGGCTGAGTTATATGAGGAAGCCAAGATACAAATCGAATTTAGTTTTCCTCCGGTGTGCTTAAAATTTACCTAAGAATATTTAGAAGACCTGACTGATTTGTAAGGCAAGGGAGTAATGAAAGGTTGGAGGAGAACAGGGCAGACACACAGGCTTGAGGTATCAGCTCACATAATACCCGATAATAAGGAGGAAAATGTGTCTTTATAGTGAAGGGAAGCCGAGTTGAGAAAAATAAACAGCTATCAAAGATCTTTTGGAGCAACTGTACAAGTCTGGAGTAGGGGACTGTTAGTTGGGGGCACTGTGGAATTTTTCTGAGTTTTCTTGGGTGTGATGATGGATGTGTAGAACAAGGTCTCCTTTCCCAGAGATGCATGTTGGAGAATTTAGGGATGAAATGCAAGAGGATGAAATAGCAGAGGTTCGGCTGCCTGGAATGAGCACAGCCAAAGAAAACATCTGATTACCACAGAGTCTGCAAAGCAAAGATTAAGGCTGGAAAAATGACTTGGAAACGAAATGGGAAGAAATCAGAGACGAAGGCTGATGGTGCTGGTGCCCACCTGTCCCCAGGCAGACAACTGTAATCAATGAAGCCTATTGTCCCCTTGCAAGGGGGCGAGGCCACAGGTTTCTCAACAATCCTCCAGGGAGCAACCACCATTCAGCCAGGGTGGCCCACATGCAAGTTGAAATGTACTATTTGCATCCCCAGTCCTTGATAGATGTATTTTAAATGTATTTCATGTTGCACTGATTTCTTAGAGAGACGCGTCTTAATAAAGAGCTACATTTTCATAATAATGAACGGATTCAAGATTGGAAACTTTAAAAACAAAAATCACAGCTCAGTTACTCTTGCCAGGTAAAAGTAGGCTAAATTACTTGGCTTCTGCTGCATAACCCAACCAAGATAATTACTCTGTTGCCTTGCGGAACCATCTAGCTCCTGGGGAGTGCGTATACCATCCTGTTAATGGCAAACGTGGCATCATATCATGACGAATCCTTGCCTCTTAAAAGCTTTCTTCCATTTAGTCTTTCTAAAGGCAGGGGTGTGGGGAGCACCTTGTTTGCTGTAAAGAAGAATACAAACATCAGTAGTTCTTATCTCATTGCCCAGAGTATCACTTTATAATATTTGTTTGGGGTTTTCTAGATTCCCAGCCAGAAACAGTTTCAGGACAGGAGTCCCCACAAACACCGAGTGTTCCAAAACTCAAGAGTTTTGTAGATGCCAAGGAGTCTGCTGACCAGAACCAAACTGAAAATTTGGCAAAACCTATTGCAGGTATGGCAGTCATTTGCTTTATCTCATTCTTTCTCGAAACTGAATGTTACCTCTTTTTGGAGGAGGGAAGATGACACTGGGAGCTGAGGGTCTGGTTGGCGGTTACAGAAAAAATTCCAGTGGGTCACAGAGCCCAGAACTAAAGCACTTTGTAAGGCTTCTTCGCACATCTAAGTATCTCAAAAAATGTTTTGATGGGGCGCCTGGGTGGCGCAGTCGGTTAAGCGTCCGACTTCAGCCAGGTCATGATCTCGCGGTCTGTGAGTTCGAGCCCCGCATCAGGCTCTGGGCTGATGGCTCAGAGCCTGGAGCCTGTTTCCGATTCTGCGTCTCCCTCTCTCTCTGCCCCTCCCCCATTCATGCTCTGTCTCTCTCTGTCCCCAAAATAAGTAAACGTTGAAAAAAAAAAATGTTTTGAGAATGATTGCAAGTCCTAGATTGAAAGGAAAAAATGGCAAATATGTATTAGACGGTTATTGTATTTTATTTCTTTATTGTATATAATTATTTATTTTAATTAATTTATTACATTGTATTATTTGATTTTATCCCTCGTGGATCTGAGAGCTTGCAATACTTACTAAATGTCAGGAACCTGGTAGCTTTTTTTGAGCAGCCAGTAATTTGGTGGTTGGACTCATATTTACCCACCTTTTCAGGTACTTTCTTGGTCTGCAGGTGCTAGAAGAGAAACATAAAGTGTAGTCTCTATACAGCACACCATCTCATTTGTAGCAGAAATTAAAGTATGGAATAATACAAAATAATTGTAATTACAGTGGAATCACACTGATTTCACTGAAGTTAATTCAACTTTATGGCTGATCCGTAAAAAAAAAGAACAGAGTATTTTAAATTGTGTAGATGAATTTGCACCCCTTCACTCCTGTGGACATGGTCCATTTTGAGGGGGGCACTTGTTGGGATGAGCACTGGGTGTTGTACGTAAGCAATGAATCACAGGAATCTACCCCAAAACCAAGAGCAACATACACTGTATGTTAGCTAACTTGACAATAAATTATACTAAGAAACAAAACAAAACAGAAAGTGAGATGGGAATCGGCCAAGAGGTCTTAGTTTTACCTCTCCCAGAGGGAGCATCTTGCCACCTCTACGAGTGACTTAAGGGATTTACCTTACACATGCCTTTTGCCTTCCTGATTTCGAAGTTATCTCTTCTGGGGCGCCTGGGGGAGGTTCAGTCGGTTAAGCGTCCAACTTCGGCTCAGGTCATAATCTCGCGGTCCGTGAGTTCGAGCCCCGCGTTGGGCTCTGTGCCGACAGCTCGGAGCCTGGAGCTTGCTCTGGATTCTGTGTCCCTGCCTCTCTGTGCCCCTCCCCCACTCGTGCTCTGTCTCGCTCTGCCTCCCAAAAATAAATAAATGTTAAAAAAATAAAAAAAAGTCAATTTTAGGTTATCTCTTCTATAAAGTTTATTCATCTAGTGGACAATTTACTCAATGCCTATTGTACACCTGGCATTGTTCTAGGCATGGAAATACAGCAGCTAAAAAGCCTATGTCTTATAGAGCTGTACAGACCACGGGCAGACCTAGACAATAAATCAATAAACAGGTAAATCGGATAAATTGCGGTTGGAATAAATGTTATCACGGAGTAAAACCGTACATAAGGTATGGAAAATGTCTTGGGGAGAGGGATGGCCTTTCATTAGGGGCGTAGGAGGCCCCTCTGTGAAAGGACATCTGAGCGTAGACAGAACGACAGGAAGGAGCCAGCCATGCCAACCCTGGGGGAGAGAGAGGGGGCGAGTATTGTGAACAGCTGGTTTGAAGACCCTTAGAGGAGACGAAGCAGGAAAATGGGCATAAGGCTAGAAGACAATGAGCAAAGAAAGAAGTAAAGGAAGGTGAGGTCAGAGGGAGGGATAAAGATAAAACCATGCGGTGGTGCATAAGGAGTCTGGGGTTTTAGTCCGTGTACAGTTTTCTTCAAATACCACTGGAAGGTTTTGAACAGGGTAGTTTACACAACTATAATTTGTATTTTATTTAAAAAAATTTTTTGAACGTTTATTGATTTTTGAGACAGAGAGAGACAGAGCATGAACGGGGGAGGGGCAGAGAGAGAGGGAGACACAGAATCGGAAACAGGCTCCAGGCTCTGAGCCGTCAGCACAGAGCCCGATGCGGGGCTCGAACTCACGGACCGTGAGATGGTGACCTGAGCCGAAGTCGGACACCTAACCGACCGAGCCACCCAGGCGCCCCTATAATTTGTATTTTAAAAAGATTACCCGGTAGCTTGTGGGTGGGGTAAGGGGAGTGGAGAAGCGGAGGCTGGGAGGAAGCCACTGAGGCAGGCCATGTGAGCACTGGCAGAGACCTGGCTAAGGCCGTGGAGTCTGGGCAGGGGGGGTGGATTAAACCAACTGGGACTGTCCACCCTGGAGGTAGAGCTGAAGGGACTCACGGGTCACCGGGATGTGGAGCTGAGGAATAAGAGGAACCAAGGGTGGTTCCCAGGATGAGTTCTGTGACCAGTTATGAGGCTGAGAATTTGTAGTTGTAACAAGCTTCAGGTGGTGCTGATGTTGGATCACACTTTGAGAACCATGGCCCTAGGGAAGACTCTAGAATGTAACAGGCAGAAGAAGGGCCAGAAAAGGCTACTAAGAAGAAGCCATTGAGGTCGGAGAAGAACAGGAGCACGAAAACCCATGTTTCCAGTGGATCACATGGCCCTGAAGGGCCAAGGGAGATGCAGAATACCCACGGGACTGGGGGAGATAGAGATAACTGGTGATCTTGGTAAGAGCCCTTTCAGGGCCTGGAGGAGCCTGCAGCCAACTGAAGCAGGCTGTGTATAGAACGGTGGAAGAGGAACCAGGAATGCACAGCTTCACCCGAGAGCTTTGCTGAAAAGAACAGAGGAACGGCATTGCAGCCGAGGCAGATGTGTGACCAGGGGAGAGATTAAAAAATTTTGACACACTGGAGGATGTTGACTTGCAGACAGTAATTCAGTAGCAAGAGAGAACTTGCAGGAGAAGAGGTCCTGCTTGCAGGAGAGCAAAGTTCTAAAGAAGGTGAGAGAACGTGACGTTTGCGGCAAACCCTGAGTGTCCGAGTTGACCTTGGATGTACATAGGGCCACCTCATCCAGCGACAGGAGAGAGGAGAAGGAATATGGGTACATTGGCAGGTGGGTTTGCATGTTTGGTATTAGACAGATGAGCGAGTCTGATGGCAAAGGAGTGGATATAATGATAAGAATAGAAAGTCCATTCCAGAGAAACAAGAAAGCAAAACAAGAGAGGGGCGACTGATTGTTTTCAGGTGACAGTGTCAGTTGATTAGAGGCCTCAGTAAGGCCAAATGATCGTTTGCTAGATACGACAGAGTAATGGGCTGGAAGTTTAGGTTGTGTTCTAGAGAGGAAAGTGGACACGGAGACTGTGAAAGCGGCAAAATTATTGGTGTTGGCAAAGTTGAGATCTGACCATGGGAGCTTGTGGGTGGAGAAGAGGAAAAGAGGAAGAAAGGAGATGATTGAGAATCAGAGAGGACCGGTGGGGGGTGGGTTGGGTGGCTTGTCCAGGTGATGTCAACAGGTGAAGTGGAAGTCCATCCGAGGTGTCAAGACCTCCAGTGAATCAAGGGAATGACAGAGGTCTGTAAGCGACAAGTACATCATGGAGACGTCATAGGTAATAATCTGATGGCACGAGCTTCAAAGAAACAGGAGATTTGGAAGAAGGGAAGAGTCTTTGGAACAAGGACACCTACTGCACCTGTAGGGATCAAGATGCTGAGATGCGAGACGGTAACTGGACTCACTAAAAGTGGTGAATTAAGTTTGGATGGAAACAATAAAGCTTAAGGAAGTGCAAAACAGGAAGAGTGGGGAAAGCTTTATAGGAGAGCTGGCCTTGGAGAATAAGATAAAATTTCGTAGGTTTTAAAGATTTAAGATTGGATCACCTCAGACAACCCCCATTTCATCTACTTGAGGAACCTGAAGCCTAGAGAAGTCAAGCAACCTCTAAACTCATACAGGGAATCTGGAACTAAGCCTGGGGGAGAAAAACGAGTTTTTTTGACTCCTCATTCTCTATATTTTATTACACTGCCCTCCAGATGTAAGAAAGAGCAAAGAATACTTTATGCAAAAGAGAGAGAGAGAGAGAGAGAGAGAGAGAGAGCGCGCGC